TAGGGTTTTTACATTAGGAATGGTCCAAGTATCGGTATGGTGTATACTTATCGGGTATTCTGAGGGGTCTAAGTATATACTATAATGATACTTGGACCCTTTGGGCTGTAGATCCCGAATGCCAACTCCAACACGCAGTATCCAGGGCCATCCTTCAATCCTCAAGAGAACCAGCCTGCCCTAAATCCCATTATGGTTCTTACCTAAACCCCCCAAAGTAGGTAAAATAATTGCCCAAAACCTATAAAAAGATACTATTCTACATACTTTTGGGGTCCAGGTATTTTAGGTTGAGGTTTATTCTGAATTAAGCGGTGTTTCGGACCGAAAACCCGAATGCAACTCCAGTGTCCTCGTCGTCCTCCACCTTTTCGAAATACAAAGGTCTGGGACGTGGCTTGGACAGCATCTCCTGAACATGCAAGGGCTGCCTTAAGTTAGGCTTCTGGATTTTAGGTTTTAGCTTGTGTTTATGTTTTTTTGTGTGTGTGTGTGTGTGCGTGGTGTGCTTTTTCTTTTATGTGAGCTCTTTCAAACTACTTGTTAGAAGCAGGACAAGCCTATGTTCAGGGATTTAGGCCTCGAGGGAGCATGGTTCAGGCTTCCGTGCTCCGGTACGTTTCCTCGTCTATCCAGAAGGTCCGTGTATACTTTTTAAGATTATGCCATTAGGCCCCTAAAGACCTTCATAATCGTGGGTTTGGGGCACCCGTTGCCCGAGATGTAGTATATATATATATATATATATATACACACACACACCCTCTGAGCCCCATAGAAGAGCCCTTAAAGGAACCCTTAAAGAGCTGTTCAAGGAACCCTTCAAGCATGGTACTGTATGTGGACCCTTGTGGTTAATGTATACTATATTCTTCTTATTCTTCAGGCCCCTACATTGCTTTGATAAGGATCAGACGTGTATCTTTTGAGGGGCCGGCAGGGACATCTGCAAAGCTCCACCGGCAGGGCAGGGCAGGAGGGGCACACTGGCACGACGTGTGCAGACCTCTGCAAATGTGTACCCTGCTCCCAGGAAACTGCATATCCGTTCTCCGCTGATGCTTGGCCTCTTCGAACTGCCTCTCCAGTCGCTGCAGTGAGCTCGTGATCTTGGATTGCTCTGAACCAGCAAGCATCCGTGGCACCTGCCGCGCCGAAGAAGCTTCACTGCGAAGGAAAGGAGTCAAGGCTCCCGACCCCGACGGCGTCCCTGCCTGCGGCTGCTGTGCCTGCTGGAACGACGGTCCCATTTGCATGCATACATACATACATCCACACATAATGCATAAATGTCGATCTATATGTATATATTTATATACGCATTCAATACACATTGCATATAAACAAACATACAGGCGTATGTATATATATATATATATACACACACGCAAAAAACGTCGCACTGCAGGACCCTTTCTCTCTCTCTATCCATAAATACTTGTGCATACATAGATCTGTAATATTTACGTAAACATGTATATATATATATATATATATATATGAGATATATATATATATATATAGATGTATCTATAGATGTATCTATATATATATACATATATTGTCCTACTGCCACAGCCCCCAAAGACCCGCGACGAGCCTCATCAGGGAAGCCCAGGCAGCCTCGGACTGGTCTTTGGGCGGTTTGGGGAACCCAAGGTACCCCTACTTTTCGGAGACTCCCATATGCATCACCAAGGAGCCCTCCGAAACTGGGAGTTGAGTGGCCATGGCTTGCACTCGTCCGATAGTTTGGGGCTCTTAGGTACCGTTTTAGGCGTTAGGGTTAGCCTCAACTACCCTATTGTAGCCCCTAACTACCTTTCAATGAGAAATATCAGAGCCCTTTAAAAGGTACTTGGGGGGTGCTGGAGGGCTTAGGGTTCAGGGTTAGAGTAAGAGGCGGGCATGGGTGTTTGCTTAAGGGCTTGCGTTTTTTTCGCTGGGCGTATATAAAAAATTTCAAAGGTGGTTTTGCTTGGGGCTTGGGTTGAAAAAGGGAGTTCGAGGGTGCTTTTTGTCTGAACCCCTGCTTCAGGAATTCAGGATCTTGGTTTAGGGTTTGGGCTAACAGGGTTCCATACGGCTGTAGGTGTCCGCGGTTTAATGTCTTTCAAGCCAAATACTTTATACTTACTGGACCCTAAAGTCCTCAACCCTATGTTTATCCTAAATCCTGGGCCCAGAACCCAAAACCCAGAGCGTTTGGGAGTACTCCGGTTGATGATATCAAACCTGCATTACCCATAGTAAGGAATATACCATAATTCCCACAGTATGCGGTCCTTAAGGCAATGCAGGATTACATCATCAACAGTCCTGATTTGCATGTGCGGGTTCCGTGCTAGTTTGAGAGATTGGGTGTGTGTTTTCAGCCTAGGCCTAGGCCTAGGGGAGACTCCAGAGCCAGAAAAAGCGTTTCAATTCATTAATGTAGGAGACTAAATATTAGGGGTTCATTATTATAACTATAATAAAAAAGGCACGACCCAAACCCTATTCTAATTAATATAAGGCCCCCTATCTACCTATCTATCTATCCATCTATCTATATATATATATATACAAATATTAACCACATGCCCCTTCCAAACCACAGCAACATAGGCCATGGCGGCAATACCCCGCTACAGCCCATCAAAAAGATTAATTGTCGTCTAGCATTTAGGATCTTTGAAGAAGCTAGATGCTGCCATCGGGTTTCGGGTTTGAGGGGCCGCTTTTACACCGGGTTTTGACTTTGACACCGGAACACAAAAGCACTCGGGAAATATGTCAGGTAGCATATCTTCACTTTCCGGAAACTTGCTAGAACCCATGTCTGGCAGGGTCAAACAGCCCAATATAGACATGCATGAGGAAAGTATATGTTGGAACACTTCAACAGCTCAGGAAAGTGTTTACTTGCAGGATCGGAGGACTTAGTAAGCAGGCTCAAAGGGGGGGGGCACTGCAGCCGAGAACTTGAACCCACAAGTATAATCTACGCACTCAGTGACGTGATCCTCCCAGCGGGGTAGTCGGGGTTTGTGGGCTTCTACAGCAGGTACTTTCAAAGCTAGACTCCCGAATGCTCTCATGGGAAACGTGAATTTTTGGGTGCAGGAAGCGTTGTTTGTTTCGGGAAGGCTGCGTCAGGGATGCTAGCGGAAGTTCGTGTTCATGTTTAGGGCTGTTCTACACTGCGAGAAGGGCCCATTGTCGGACATCTTTTGGAAAACAAACCCCTGAAACACGAGCCCCAATTTAAAGTGAAAGCGACCTGAACCTTGATCCCTGATGTACATCCTGAACAAACCCTAAACAGTCATCCCATGAACCCTAACTACTGAACATACCCAAACCCCGCAGTCCCACTTAAATCCGGATTCCGACCGAGATTTTTACAGTTTTAGAGACTTGATACCCAATGCTCTCGGAGTTTGGAGAAGACATAGCAAGCAATTCTGGTCTGACGAGAAACTGCGAAAGGGGTGCATTGCCTGTTCTTTCTCTTCGCTCTCCGTCTTCTCTCTCGCTCTCGCTGTCTCTCTCTCTCTCTCTCTCTCTCTCTCTCTCTCTCTCTCTATATATATATACACACATATATAAGCAAACATATACGCAAGTACATATACTATATGTGCATACCTTAGGTGCTTACATCTACTTATAGACAAAGCCTTCCCTTTTCCTAGAGGTGCTCCTGGCTTTTTCCATGAAGTTGGGCTTTCATCTTCGCGTCTCACGGTTGAACGCAGAAAATGGTCCTCTGCTCTTTGGCTGAGGTCTGCCCTGCTGCAACTTCAAGCAGCCGATTGAAGGCTTGTGAGGTTTTGCGTTTAAGGCTTAGGAGTTTAGGCCTTGGGGTTAGTGGCTTGCTTTGAGGGGCAGGGGACTCAGTAAGTAGGGTTATAAGTTTTCCACCGAAGTTCTGCTTTTTTGGGAACAAATCTTCGCGGTTTGGTGTTGGAACCCTTCCAAGTGACAGCTGGTCAGGGGCGTGCGATTGGGATGTGGGTTCTGGGCATGATATAGGAACCTGATTTAACAACCCTGGGTCTTTATTAGGGTTCCTTACAGTATAAGCCCAAAAGTTGGAAACCCAATAGCCTCAATCCTGAAGAGAAATGTATGGGGAATCCCAGCACTATTTGGCCTTAATCCGGTTTCCAACTTTATGGGGTATAGTGTCTATCAACCCTACTATTTTGGGGTTATAGCGCCAGGGTTTCTTAATCAGGTTCCGACATATTAGGCAGGCGGTCCTGCACCGCAGAATGCATGTTGCGCTGTACTCAGGGTCCCGATAGGATCTCTTGTTTTTTTTTGGGGGTTATATGATACGATAGTTCTATTACTCTACCACCCTTAGCACCATCAGAAACACACTATGTTTAATATTCTCTCGGGTTTTTCTATGAACAAAAATGTTAGGTACCCGGTTTTAGGATTACTAGTTATGTAGGTTAGGATTTTGGAGAGTATATGATTATTAGGTACTTGGACCCTTGGGGTTCTATGAAGGAGCCCGGGAGATGATTGGTAACCCATTTGGTAGGTTTCGAAAGTTAGGAGAGCCTAATATGGTACCCTAAATAGTAGGATCCTTATTATTAGGACCCCAAAATACGGTTCCCCTAATTTTTTCGGAAACTCCCATTTCGGCCTCTATAGCCTATAGCCAGCGTGAAAGCACTACTGCAGTAAGTCCAAACATCAGCACACGTAGCACGAGTGAGTACTTGGACTGTTACTGTCCGGGGTCGCCATCAACTTGCTGAGAGCCGCATGTAGTGGTACAGTGGCCCATCCCATCTTGAAACGGGCCCACAATGCCACCGGAGTGCAAAATCCCTAATGTGAAATGGGATCGTACGACATGTACTTAACATCTAGCAAATTCAGCATTCCGCATCGATATCTGGAACCATCTTCATACTGAGATGCTGACATCCAACTTGCTCGTGACATCTGTTGCAACATATGACAGACTTATCATCTGTGTCAGCCCCCCCCGGTCAGGCGCCAAGCAGCGACATAAGGTCGTGGCAACCGGCAATGCACATACCACGCCTCGTCTTGAAATCTTGGAGGTTTCAAGAGGCTGCGCAGTTCGGGTTCTTCAATTTTACATGCCGAAACCGCAAATCTAAAAGATGGATTTGAGGCTTTGGGTAGGGGCGGCCAAATTTGAAGGTTTGGTGCTTTCAGGTTTCAGCCCCTTGTATTTGGGATTCAAGGTTTTTGGGAGTTGACGTTCAGGGGTTGAGGATTTAGGTGTTAGGGTTGGGCGAGTTGACGGTTGAGGGTGTGAGATCAACATAACTCCCAAAGTATACATACACCAAGGTGCCCACTAAAGCACCATATATACCCCTCCAAATTCCTACTACAGGGGCCTTAATATTTGGAATAGGGTTTTCAGGCCCATTGTACTATAATTGTAATAAGGAACCACCAAAGAGTATTGGTAATTCTTATAACTATAGCAACAGGACCCCTGCCTCGTTTGAATGCAAGACTCCTTCCACTGATGATGGTCTGACTCATAGTTTCCTATCAAAGTACAACTGCAGATGCAAGTGCTGCTAATTTAACTGAGATACAACAACCGGAATTCGTCAGGCATTCTAAAGTAAAGAAATGGACAGTGGCGAAGTATCTAGTTCCTAACTCATGTATAGATCCGAAATGATCCCACAGGCTGCGCCCCATATGTAACACAAGTCCCCAGCAAGAAAAGCCCACACGATGAGACAAAAGGCAAGGTGTCTGTGCCGGACGGAAGCCGTAGCAACCTCATCATGGGAATTATCGGACTTCAGATCAAGTGAAAGGGTTAGTGTTTCGGGCTCAGGGTTCAAACCCAAAACCGCACACCCGAAATCCTAAACCCTAAACCCTTCAGCTGTGGCATGGGAGACTTGCTGTTGGAGAGGGTTCAGTGGTTGGTTTTCACCCACTCCAAAGTTTCGAGGAGCCAGATTTTTGCGCAGGGGAAAGCTACTTAAGAAAGTCATTACAAAAATCAAAACTCCCTCAATGCCTTTTGTTGAGCAAATGCTTCCAATCATTAGGGTTTTGGTGTAGGGTTTGCTATGTAGAAACTGCGACTCGAACACAGGCCTGATTTAACTATGCCCAAGCTCGAACACCCCAAATTCACCGAAGCCCGAAACCCCGCCGCCCTGGAAACCGAAAGGCCTTGAACCGCCATACCGCATCTAGGCTCCTGAGTAGCCCCTTTGTAATAATAAGGTTTCCCCTTTTTCCTATTTGGGTAGTTGTCAAAATTATGGCCCCTTTTGGGTACCCTAAATAATAAGGTTCCGCATTATATCAAGGATCCGCAAAGGGACCATCATTTCGAGAACCACCCATTTGGTTTTAATGAGGGGGCCCTACAGTAGAAGCCAGAAAGTTGGAATATCATTAGCGTAACCCCTTTAAAGTAAATTATAGGGGATCCTACCACGAATCCATATTCCAACTTTCTGGAGTTCCCTTTAAACCACGAAGGGCAAAAGGGTACTACTCAGGAACCAAGGAATCGCCCAGAAGCAGTCTAAGCCCCCTAAGCCCCCTAAACCCCAAAGCCTAGACCCCTAAACCCCTAAACCCTCAACCCCAGCCCTCTAAACCCTCGACCCTAACCCTAAATCACTAAACCCTCAACCCCTAAACTCTCGCCACGCTGGAAAGCTCAGAGCCCCTCAGAGTGCTTCACAATCGTTTTCGTAGAGTTACCCAAAGGGTCCGATGTACCTATATAGTTTAGGTACGGCCCCCATACAGTAAGAGTCTATAATAGGGCTACTATTAAGGTCCTACTATATCTATATTATGAATATTATTCAACTATTACTGAGTGGGGGCCGTACCTAATATATAGTCGACAGGGTTTCTATACCAGGAATTACTATTATGATTTGGGGGGGGGAAGTATCCCCCATAACAGTCCCTAGGATCCTTTGGGTTATATACCACCACCTTCATCATCACATTTGTCGTCATCATACGCAACACCAGGGTTTAGGGCTTGGGGTTTAACATCATCACCCCTGGGACAAAGACCCTCCAAAAAATGATCGGGGCATTGGGCTGGGATTAACTACTTGGAGGTTCATGGGTAGATATAAACGAAGTTATACGTCCCCTAATATGGGTTATAAGTATAGTTACCGTACTTATAACCTACTTATAACTACCCATGAACCTCCAAGTAGGCATTGGCAAGAAGCGTCTGCTGTTGGTCTCGGCCAATGCGTATGCTGAGTGTGCGCACCTCCCGAGATCGAGATAGGACTTCGTGAACTTAAGGACCCATAGGGTTTAGGGTTTCGGGTTATATAACAAAGAACCCTAAAAAGGTAGGTTCCTTAGGGTCCGGGTAAGCCCTAAACCAGACTAAACCCTTATGGTACCCTGAAAGGTACCCTTAATGGAACCCTTATGGTACTCTTAAAGGGCAACAGCTTTAAGCAGTGGATCTAGAGCTTGAAGCTGAGGACATAGGGCCGGAACAAGTACGCTTTTAGGTTCTAGGGCCTAGGGTGCGGGCTTCGGGTTCTTGGACTCGTGCAGATCTTGGACCGTAAAAGGGCCGGTTTTGTGCAGTTAACTTACATGCAGTTAGCTTAGATCCAGAACGCACACACAAAGCAAATCTCGTCAGAACTAAATGAATTATGATTACGACAGTATAATAACTGTCATGGTTTCTCTTTATTGTTACTACCAGCTCCATATGATAACTACAGTATAACTATCATGGTTGCTCTTCTTCAAATTAAACTAATGGTTGTGACTCGTAGTCTATTATGATGAGGCTACTGGACCCTCAAAGCCTCAAGAAATGGAGGGCCCGGGCGGGTACATTCTGGTAGGTATGGGCTCTGTAGGAGGTTCGTGACAGCCCAGGTGTAATGCAGGGGATTTGAAAATTAGAATGGGGGTTTCTGGGGGGTATATTATACTATACTTAACCTGATCATACGGAACCCTTGATAATTAGAATAGGGTTTTGGGGGTATGTTATACTGCACTTACTTAGACTGATCATAAGGAACCCCCAAACACTATGTTATGAAGGCTCTTATACTAATCAGCGTGCTAGCGTAATGGCGAAACGTCCCCTCCGCTAATGCCGTCAGGTCAAAACTTGATGGGAGGCCAAAAGAGGGGTTTAAGATTATTGGGGTAGGGATTCCTTAATACGAACCCGCTTCTGGGAACCCAATCCCTACCTAACCCCCATAGGCTAAAACCCCTGTTGGTCTCCTATGAAAGCTCCGAGCCCATCAATCCGAGCCGGGAAATGCACCACCCGAACCTCCATCCCCCCCAGAGCTATGAGGGTAGTCCTTCTAATTAGGGTCCCTTTTTAAGTTCCCCCCCCAAAAAAAAAATACGGCACCCCATAACAAAAAACAGCGCAAAAGGGACCCTAGTTTAGAGAACTGTCCATGAGATGATTGAGGGTTTTGGGGATTCCTTATTTTAATCAAAGTATAACATACTCCCAAACCCTATTCTAATTGTTAAGGCCCCTATATTAACCCCCGAGAGCTATGAGATGATCCAGAACAAAGCCGACGGTCGGTTTGAGGACCGCAAACCGGATGGACAGGGGTGTAGCGGTGATGAAGCTCCTCATAGTCCGCTGGGCCAATACTGCTTCCGCAGTCCGTCAGCACAGTCTTGACCTGGCTCACGACATAGGGGTAAGTGAAACTGCCCTACAGGGAGCCCAATGCATTGCAGGAAGCGAAGCTTCGCCGTGGGACCTTGGGGCTCATCCAGAGGTTCACGCAGAGGAGGGGGCGGGGGGGGGCGGGTCAAGCAGTCCCATTTTGGGCAGGTTTCACAGACTCCGGTCCATCTCCTCGGTCCATCATCGGTACTTTGGCCATTGCCCTCAGCACCTGGTCACTTCCTGCGAGGTTTCTCTATGGTCTTAGGGTCAATGGACTTAGTGAGAAGGGTTGTAAGTAAGCTCCGAGTTTAGGGTGGGGCGATCGCCGCTGGAAATGGTAGGCTAGAGACGAAAAAAGTTTCATAATCAGAATACTCCTTGCGCTGACAAAACCACTACAAATACTTATCAAACCCTTTAAACACTTATGCAACCCCGACACCCTGTTTAGTTATTACCCACTAACTCATATACAACAAACCTATAACCCACGGCCTCAGCCCCCATGCGCAAGGAACAAGGTCCGCAATGTCCATCCACAGCAGCGGCCACAACGCAACTCCTGGGCGCTTTCATGCAGGGCGTAGAGGTCCAAAACAGGGTCTAAAACTGACCCGGTCTGGAGATCCCAGAAGTTGCAACAAGGTTAGGGGTTTGGAGCTGTGCAGGGCTTGAGTGGGGGGTTGGGTTCAGGATCATGGCTTTGGTTTCGGGCAGTGTAGGGTTCAGAGATATGCGTTGCAGGAGTTCCTTATGATCTGTGCGAAATCTTTATGATCTGTACATCTTGGGAGCTGTACGTCCAAAGCTCCCTGTGGGCGAAAGCATGGGGCGGTTGGCTGAGGTTCAACAATCAAAGAAAGCCCACCTTGGGGCAATCCTTCATAAACCCGGTTTGGTCTATGTCAAAGCTCGCGCCAACTTTGAACCAGCTCTCCGAACGAGGGTACCTTCTCACCCTCGAATATCCCGAGGTTTGTGCTACTAACTTCATCCAGCTTCTTTATGTGTTCTGTGAACTCTGGTTTCGTGGTCGTCATCTTTCTCTGCATTTGCTCAGAGGTCTCTGAGATGATGGGCATTCCATGGCCAGCTTGCTCGCAGTGGGTGTCGCACTCGTCCAGGGCTTCTTCTGTGAGCTCTCTTTCTTCCAAAGTTTCGTGGCTTTCGTCTTGAAAGACGAATCCCAGGATTACCTTCGTCAGCGTCAGAAAGACAGTCGGCGAGAACACAACCACACAGTAAGTAGCAATGACAGTGGCCCTCGCAGCGAGCTTCGACGCACCCTACGTCATGAAGGTCTATAAGGCCGATGATAACCTACTGGGATCATGAATATCACCTGCAGCTATAATTACACAAAACTTAGCCGACCCGACACAGGCACAGTATACTCAGATTGTTAATACCTTTACTTAGAAAAGGCTTTCTAAATCATACACTCCCATTATCGTCAACCTCCCTTATGAAGCATCCCTAGTTGTTGCAACTAAAGAGTTCGAAACCACAGAACGACACTGGTCTGACCCGTCCTGTCAAAGGGACTCCGTTGCGAGGTCATGTGTTTAGCGCCAGTTTTGTTGTGCCATTTTGGGTGACTAGTTTGCAATTGACAAATTCGGCTACTCAGGGCATCTTAGTTCCTGAGTTCATAAGCCGCACAACGTGTACATTTTTAGTTTTATAGTGGGTGATATTATCCCGAAAAGCGTAAAGTGTATCCCCTCAGCTACTAAGGCATGGTTACAAGCCCCGAAAATTTGGAGCCTAAAATCAGGCCTATACATTGGAGCAGTTCATCAACCATGCCCTCGCTTGGCTGCTGACAGACAGATTCGTGAAGCCCCTTGAGCCCAAAGGGATTACACAAACCAAAAAAAAACGGGAAATGATTCGTAAGACAACCAGACAGTCTAGAATCTGCCTGAATCCGAAACTCTACACTACACTCTGAACCGTTTCTCACAATGGCAGGTCGTCTCTAGCGCCCCCCCCCCCTCATTCAAAAAAACAACTTCAAACTTGCCCGGGCCACGGTAGCCACTGCGTGTTTCCACAGCCTGGGACTGGCGGCTGGGGCATCTTCCCGAGGAGCCCAATACCCCTTAATTGAGGAATATGGCTTTAATTATATAGGGCTTCATATTATGATTTAAGCCATATTCCTTAAATAAGGGCTATTGGGCTCTCTAGGAGGGACTTCGAGGTGTAGGCTAAGGCAGGGGTCTGAATAATGAGTAAAACGTAAAAACAACAATCCTACGCCCCTATGTTTCAAGTCTCATTAAGGACCTAGGGGATGTGGATGTGAGCTTTAGGTTAGGGGGCTGTATCTAAACCCAGAGAACGACGAAAATATTTTAATTACAACACAGGCCCCAGCCGTGACCCTAAACGCCCTTCCACACAACCCAGTGACTGACTGCAGTTCTCGTTTGCCTCATTAAGTTGCGTGTGTGAGGCACAGATGCTGTCTTGTTTTCTTGGGACTCTCTCGAGGAATATGTTACCGTTTTGGCCTATAGGTTTCGGAATTTCGGGATTCTGTGGACTCTCTCGAGAAGTATGCTGAAATGTTTGGTGCTTTGGTCTTGTTTCGGGACTGTCTCGAGGAATATGGCTTTTGGGCTTTGGCATTTTTGTTTTGTTTGGGGACTGTCTCGAGGAATAGTGTGATTCTTCTTCTTCAATTGATCGCACGCTCGTTCCGGACGTATGCAGCATGTGCAGATACACGCATGTCACCAGGTTTCTCCGTATGTACATTTACATGTACGCAGATACGAGATACATGTCGTGGTGTCCAGACCAGAGCTATACCGATGTACTAGACGTACGCAGACGTGTGGATCTCGGTGCGGGTAGCATACACACACATATATATATATATATATACATACATACCTACATACATACATGCACGTGGTATCCGGAAGCTACACAAGGCCGTCAATAGTTGCTTTCCTTTTCTCCAGGTGTTTTGTATATGTATAAGTAATAAACAGATATGTTTGTATGTATACCTGTATACATGCATGCATGTACATGTGTATATACGATGTATGTATTACATCTCTAGTATCCTCTATCGAGTATCGTGTAATGTGTATATATGTATAGGTAGATTGTATGAACATCCAAAAGCACATGCTGGCGTACATGTGCATGTAACGGTCAATGTGTATACGGTTCTATGTGTACGTCGATGTACGTATGTACATACATGAACCGTGTTCGGCGCTATTTGTGGAACAGTAGAGGGTGGTTCGGAGGGCGTGTTGTGTACCTTGGTGTTCAGCTTCGGGTGTGCCAACTATAACAAGTACATGATCTATCCTGCTTCAGAGTCTACTCCGAAACCGTATATTCCTAAATCCTGAACCCTAAACGCCCGAAACAGACACCCAAACCCTGTTGACAATTGTGAAGGCCGGCTACTTGGAGGATCATGGGACTTAGTAGGTATGGTTATAAGTACCTTAATTGGGGTCATAAGCAATTATAAGTATAGTTACCTTACTAGTAACCCTAGTTACTAAGTCCCATAATCCTTTAAATATCTCAGTTCCCAGGAAGTCGGGGCCGCGAAGCTCGCGTGGCGGCTGCAGCGCGCGGACCAGCGGTCGCCCACATGGCGGAGCTGCATCCGACCTGGTCAGGCGTTTTAAATCCACTGTTAGGGGTTTATGGGTTAGGACTTAGAGGTTTAGGTCCAAGTTTAGGTTTTAGGAGTTTAGGGGTTTGGGTTTAGGGTTTATTGGGGGTTCCGGGTTTAGAGCTTAGAGGTTTAGGGCTTCGGGGTTTAGGGTTGAGGGCTTCTTCCAGCCTTGACCGCTGCAGACCGAGCACGGGAAGAGGGCCACGCCAGAGACCCCCAGCTGGGTGCCTCGCAACGGTTGATGATATAAATCCTGCATTACCTTAAGGAGCCTAAACTATGGGAATTGTGGTATATTCCTTATAATGGGTAATGCAGGATTTAGATCATCAACAGAAGGAGTGAAGCTTTGCAAGGCTCGGAGACAGGGTTTCCCCAAAGGCCCCAAAGTAGTTCCTTTTTTGGGGGTTCGTATATAGAATCCTATAAGGTAATCCCACAAAGGAACTACTATGGGGCCTTTGGGTAGGCTTCCATTTCGAGGAATCTTTGACTGAATCTATCAGGGTTTCGTTGAAGGGATCAATCATAGGGTTTAGGGCGGGTTTAAGGTGAATGTTTGGGAGTCTCGGAAGATGGGGACCCTGATATTTGATATAGACCCTATAATTATCAGGATCCTTCTTATAAGGACCCGAAAATACAGTACCCCTAGTTTTCGGAAGCTCCCATATTTCCAGGAGGGCTGGGGGCCGAATATTGGGCCTAGGAGCTAGAATAGGGGCTTCGAAGTATATTCCGGAATGAAAGTAGGCTACAAATGCGAAGAGGTTATGGCTGGAATCATGGCTCTCTTAGACCCTGACCCCCTCAACCCCGCATCCTAAGCCCCTCAATTCCTCAAACCCTCAACCTAAACCCCTTAACCCTAAGCCCCTAAGCCCTAAAACTCTAAAACCCTAAATCCCTTAATCCTAAACCTCTAAACCCTAAAAATAATTAACCCCAAGACCCCTCAGCTCTGCATCCTGGCCCCCAAACCTCCCCACAGCCTCGACCCAGCGTGCTGCGCAGCGGGCTTTGTGCCCCGGATTCCTCCTTGGGCTTCGGACGTGTTTCACTACAGTAATAGGCTTTAGGGTGCAGGGTTTCGGGGTTTCGGAGTTCAGGGGTTTCGGGTTTAAGGGCTTTTAGGGGTTTAGGGTTTAGGGTTTTAGAGTCTTAGGGCTTAAGGGCTCAGACCTCGGACTTAAACTGTTTGTCTAAGGCTCCTTTGCAGATGATGGCTTCATGCTTGTACGAGCACCTAAGGTAAACGTAGACTAATGACTAATGGATCCTATCTATGTTTATGAAAGGCTCAAAATGGCCCAAAAGCCTCATATGGTATGGTCTTTAGACCTCCAATGAGTCACTAGTGGAACGACCAGCAGAACTCGACGACGGCTCACCAATGTCAGGGTCGTCCTCCTCTCAGGTGAGGTCTGCAATGTCCAATCTTGTCTCCAAAATGGAGTCTGTATCGCTGTCCTCCTGTTCGTCAGTCCGAGGAAACAATGGCGCCCCCTTCAGCCCCTGAAATCCGGGCTGAGTCACCTGATTACGGCGGCCGACCACTGCAATGTACTTCGCGCTCAAAGCTGGCACACGGGCTGGCGGAGATCCAAAAACAAGTCTTGCAAGATTCTCAAGTGCGATCTTCCACAGCGAGAGCAATTTAATGTGCAGGCTCCTATGCCTGTTATTGGCAGCACGCCCGTAGCGGCTCGCCCTCACGTCTGCAGAGAAAGCCTGCGCCAATCCGAAGAGCTCAGTGTGCAGCTCTGCGTTCAGCATGCAACACTTGGATCTTCAGGGGTAGTTACAAGTGGGATCATAAGCTATAAGTAAGGCAACTATAATTATAATCCACATATTAAGGGACTAATAACTCCACTTATAAAATACCCATGAGGACCTCCAAGTAGAGGTAGCAGCTAGCGATCTTTGGACCTAAAGGCCTCAATATGAGAGTCCTTAGAGCCTGAAAGTTTAAGTAATAGTGTTGATGATATAAATCCTGAATTACCTTAAGGACCCTAAACTCTGGGAATTATGGTATATTCCTTATTATGGGGTGACGCAGGATTTATGTCATCAACCGTAGCTTCCGGATCCATGAGACGGACCAGAGGGCCTCTCGAATCCTATCCGACGACCCGAAGCCATGAACACAACTGGAGGGCTTCGCGTTCAGGGATTAGGGTGCAGCTGTTTAGGGTCATCCTTCCGTGGCTTCAGAAGACAGACGAAGACATACTGCAAGAGTAGGTGTCGGAAAAAACCGGAAACTTTCAACACAACTTAGCACAACAAAGCTGCAGCGCCTCTAGCATTTTGCCCCGCTTGTATTCCCGGGCTCCTCCATTGGTGGCGGCGGTGGCGCACGTGGTGAACCTCGTGGGCCAGGGTTCCACCCAAAGCCACCCGAACCGTCAGCCCCAAGTAACTCCAACTCTGCCTGAATACCCTAACTACCCAGACGCTCCATAATAGTTCCTTTTTGGGATTGTCTTATAGGGTTCTATAAACCCCACCAAGGAACTACTATGGAGCCTTTGGGTAAAACCACTAAACTTCCACAAAAACGTCCACAGCGCAGGCCGAGACCCTTCAGCTGAAGCAGCGGAACTAAAGCGAGCAAACAGATCAAACCCTGATCACAAAAAACCGCAAGGCAGCAACGCCAAACTCCGACACTAAACCCGTGAACACTCTTGTATGTGATTCCTAAACCCTAAACCCCTATAGACCCCGAAACCCTAAACCCTGTACCCCCAAACCCAAATCCCTAAATCCCAAACCCCTTAACCCTGAACCCCTAAACCCTAAACCCTGAACCCCTAAACCCCTACACCCAGAACTGTGTCCCCAAAGCCGGCCTGGGCCTGGGGGTCCCCTTCGCACAGTCGACGGCCGCGGCTGGGCTGAGGTGGCGGCACCGTCCACGGCCTCAAGATCATGTTCAGGGTCTAGAGAGTTTAAGGTTATGGAAGGCGTCTAAGAGGGTTCTCTATAGTTTAGATGTGCGAAATTAAAGGCTTATGAAGTCCAGGGTTGCGTGCTGTAGGGCTTGAATTATGTAGAGTGCAGTGGGTGTATAGGGGTTTAGAATTTAGGACCCACTGGGTTTGCGGCTTGGGTTTTGGGGCTTCTGTGTTGGGAGTTTGAAGTTTACGCCATTAACATTCCGGAGCTCTGAGCGACCCCCCGGCTACAAGCTGACCTCCAATGCCACGAAGCATCTGGGCAGAAAGCTGCAACCTTCTTGGCGTTTCCGTTTGAATGGGTAGACATCGGCAAGAACATCTAAAGGACAAAGATGAAGCTGCAAACCTTCACATAAACGTAGTGATATGTATGAGCATGAACAATGAAAAAACACCCAGCATTGCCTCAAGAATGAGCAGTTGCAGCGCTCCACAACGAAACCTCATTTCCCTCTTGTCCAAGACAGGAAACACACATGTACGCATGTATGTATATGTATGATTACACACACACACACACACACATATATATATATATATATATATATATATATATATCCACATGTTATATGTATATATATATATACATATACATATACATAACAATATTATGTATGTGTATACATATGCTTCCTCATAACTAAGCTGCACATCACCGTCAAAATAGGCTTTCCCTTTCTCTTTCTCCTTCCTTCATGTCTTCTTTCAATCCTTTAGGTGCCTCGTACTGCGACAACCGGGAGGAGAGCGCCGCCAGGATGTGCTGCTGAGCGCCGGCCTTCGGCTGGGAAGCAAAAGAATTTTGGGGGGGTCTGGGGGTTTGGGGTTTTGGGTTTAGGGTTAAGGGGTGTATGGCTTTAGAGTTTTAGGGCTTTAGGGCTTAGGGGTTTAGGGTTAAGGGGTTTAGGTTTAGGGTTCAGGGGTTGAGGGGTTTAGGGACTTAAGCTGTGGTGATCATGGGTTCAGGCTTCTCAGGTGTTGGATGGATTTCTCTATACTGAACTTAGAACCCCAGCAAAAAAATAATTTTGGCTGTTTCTTAGGGATTATAACCAAAAATAAAAATATTTCTAAGTACACCTAAGTTCTTGGCAACATGCAATGCCCCAGGGCCCCAGCCCACCAGCTGACTTTACTATAGATCATAGGGACCCTCAGAGGGGCAGGGAGAGGGGGGTAGGGGGCCGTTCTGCCGGACCTAATAAGGCCTATTTAAGGAAGTATAGTACTACCCCTCTTGGGGTCCCTGTGAATAGGAAGATAACCCGATACATGGGAAACGCGCTCGGAAGGGCGAGACTTGGCAGTCAGTCTCTTCATTCCCAGACCCTGCGTCGTACGGTAAGTTCATGATCGAGGTTACAGTCACGCAACACGTGCAGTTTCAATCTTTCTGCAATCTTTGCTAAGTCAACATGGCTGTTCGCTAAAGTCCTTGCGATGTTGTGCTCTGATAAGGCTTTGCTGTCATCACCAGTTCGTTCTCGGCTTCCACTTTTGTGAAGACACCCTAAATAAAACCACCAACATGAGAATATGAGAATGTCAGAGAACCGGGCACCCCAGTAGAAGCCAAATGTGTGGCAGGATTTTCATACAAACCGTGGAGGACCCCGAATGCCAAGAGCGCTTTTTTTAAATACAACCCTCAAGCAGTCCGGGCTGTAAGGCAACGCAACCTCTGCGAGGATAGGATCCTTCATTGCGGCCAAAAGGTCCTCCATTCAGGGTTTAGGATTTAGGGTTTAGGGGTTCTGGGTTTATAAGGTCTGGGGCTTAAGGGGCTTCTGAAGCCCTTACTTGGAGGGGCAGGGGGCTTAGTAAGTAGGTTATTAGAAGAGTTGTAAGTACCCTAAATGGAGTTACCCCTATTAGAACCCTACTTATAACCTACTTACAAAGTCCCAAAAGCCCCTCCAAGTCGGGTTTAGGGCCTAGGCTCTTGAGGGCTTCAGGGCGGTAGAGATTTGGGCTGAAGGGCTATAGGCCTACTCGTGGGGTCTACAGTAGAAGCCAGAAAGTTGGAATATCATTATCGTGACCCCTTTAAGGTAAATTATAGGGGATCCTACCATTAATCCATATTCCAACTTTCTGGAGTTCCCTTTAATGGGGAACTAAAGGTTAAGCATTTTGGTTGCATAGGGATTCTATTGGGACTATACTACCCGAAAAAGGTTAAAGGTTATCTACTCGACTACTAGGTAGGGCTTTAGGACTGTAGGATTTATGGGCTTCCATGGCTTGGGGTTTATACGTTGGGGTCGTTAGAGCTTTGGTGCTTTCGTGCTTCTATGCTGTCGGGCTGCGGGATTTTCAAATTGCCGCTTCGGTACCGTTCGGCCTCGCTGCTTTCAAACTTAATGCCAACACCACCTCCAGACATGTTTTCGTATGATACCCCATGCTTCCAGGGACCTTTTTATTGGGTCGTCAAGGGGTCTAAAGACCCAACTATAAGGTCCTTGGTAGCATAGGCATAGTTTCAACAGAGAACGAGGCCGTGGGACTTTGATTCCGAGGGACTCCGGACACTGCCGAGGACATATCTCTTTCGGTCTTGGGCCTTCAGAACAAAAGCAAAACTATGGGAGTAAGGATACTTGGAGGATCATGGGACTTAGTAGGTAAGGCTGTAAGTACCTTAATTGTGGTTATAAGCAAGTATAAGTATAGTTGCGCAAATAATAACCCTAGTTACTAAGTCCCATGATCCTCTAAGTATCACATATAATGTAGACTCCTGGCCAACGAACACTACTTAAAGGATCATGGGACTTAGTAATTACGGTGAATATTAAGGTAACTATACATATAACCCCAATTGAGATACTTATAACCATAAATGCTATGTCCCATGATCCTCCAAGGAGGTTTTCAAGGGGCCTAACTGAGTCTTGCGATCCCCCATTAGAATCCTCGCAAGGGAATTATACTGCTGATGGACAAAATCCTGCATGACCCTAAGGACTCTAAACTATGGGAACTATGGTATATGCATTATAATGGGTAATGCAGGATTTATATCCCTAAACCCTAAATCCCTATAGATCCCTTAAAGGAGCCCCTTAAAGGTACCCTTATAGATCCCCTTAAAGGAACCCTATAGGATTATGTCCATCAACAGTAGGGTTCATGATTCCGACGTCTACATCAGTCAGCTCGATGCTGCCGACTACCCTCTACCCTAGCCGTAAACTCACCTAAACCCGGACCCTAAACCCTAAACCCGGGGAAAAAAAAAAAACTAAACCCGGAAAACAAACCCTAAACTCAGTCTAAACCCGAAAAAACAACCCTAAACCCTAAACCCGGAAATTCTTTGAATTCTCCTTGTGCTCCAAGTGGGGGAAACGCACGGTTGCCAGAAGTCGCTGCACCTGCCCACCCTAAGGCTCCATGTGCCCATGTTGTATATACTTAGGCCTTATAAAGTACCTAAGACCTAGTTATAGAGGCACGCCTTTAACGCTTAAGTATCTACTATAAAGGTACATGGTGCCTTTGGGCCACAAGAAAGAAGACAACATTAGACGATTCTTACTTGTTCAATATCCTAGGGAACTACAGGCCAACCTTTGTGATGATATAGTGGTTAAAGCTTACATACTTTGTATGTGTGTATATATATATATATGCTCACCCCCCCCCCATGACAGACCGTCGTGGGGAAGGGGAAGGGTGGCGTGCGTCCCCAGGCAGGATCTGTCAACGGATAGGCGACAGACACTTCTCCCAAACTCAATTCCAAAATGTTCTTTTAGATGGTTTGCAATTTTTGGAAATTTCTTCACACGCATGCAGCGCTCCTAGTCCCAATCTTAATCTCAATTCTGCTCTTCGTACCACTATTACTGTTTGTAGATCTTAATTCTTGTATCAGTGTTAGCATTAGTATTAGTTTTGTGGTAGTATTGATATTAGGATGTTTAGTATGAGTAATAGTATTCGAATTAGTATTACTCTTAGTATTAGCATTAAGTATGTGTATTGATGTTAATAGTAGTAGTCGTCGTACTAGCAATAGTTGTCGCACAGCAGTAGTAGTGGTAGCATTAGTATTGGTATTTGTATTAGTATTAGAATGAGTATTAGTATTAGTATTAGTGACTAGTATGAGTATCAGTATTAGTTTTAGTATTAAGTATGTGTACTAGTAGTAGTAGTAGTAGTAGTAGTAGTCGTAGTAGTAGCAGTAGTAGTAGCAGCAGTAGTGGTGACATTAGTATTGGTATGAGTATGAGTATTAGAATTAGTAGCTAGTATTAGTACTAGTATTAGTGTTAGGATTAATATGTATTGTTCTTGGTTCTATTCTTAGTACTGCTGTCATTGTTTGTAGTAGTCCTAATCCTGGTATCAGTGTTCATATGAGTAATAGTTTTGTGGTAGTATTGATATTAGGATGGGTATTGCTTTAGTACTAGTATTGGTATTGGTATTTAGTATTAGTATTAGCATCAGTATTAGTATTAGTATTGAATAAAAGTATACATATCAATAATAGTAAATATGAACTCGTGATTATGTTCGTGCTGGTGTTAGTGCCAGTGTCGATGTCAATGTCAGTAATAGTACTCGTGTTAGTATTAGTATCAGTCTGAATGCTGGTTTTAGTATCTGTTTATTATTCACAGAAGTGCTGGTATTAGTATCAGTAATAGAAATAGTTTTGATATGTGAATATACTGATTGATTCGTACATTTTGAGCTTAATATAATAATACAGTAATGTATTCGAACAATAGTATATTTGCAGAGTTGAAGATTGCGCGAATATATTAGTACGTTGGTGCATGAGTACATTAGTATATTGGTGTATCATGATATTCGTATGTTAACGTAGTAGTATATTAGTATATTATTATAGTGGTCTATTACTACATTTACTATATTCGTATTTTCCCTAATAGCTTATAGGTATATCAATATGTTGGCATAATGGCATGTGAACATGTCAGTGTACTTGCCTTTTACAGTATTCGTATATTAGTACACTAGCATATTTAGTGATAATTAGTGTTGATGCCAGTGCCAATGTCGATGTCAGTTTTAATCAGTCTTAATGATGAATTTAACATCAGTGTAATATTCGCGGACGTGCGTATGCGTATCAATACTATAATTAGTTTTGATATATTAGTATACTGATAGATTATATAAACAGCTTAGTATACCAACACATTATAATGTATTCGAACAGTAATATGTTTGTATACCTGCATGTTTGTATGCTCTTAGTATATTAATGCATGCGTACGTTCGTGCATGAGTACATTAGTATATTGGTGTGCTATTATCTTCGATTATTAACATATTAGTGTATGAGTATCCTGGTATGCTACTTCATTTATCATATTCGTATATTATCTAACAACTTTTTTGGTATATCCATATGTTAGTATACCATTGCCATGTGTCAGTGTACTTGCATATTACAGTATTCGTGTCTTAGCAAGTTAGCATATCAATACAGTATAATCAGACGTTAACAAGTAGTATATTGTCACGTTGGAAACTGGGTATATGACAAATTAAATACGAATATACTACGTTAGTACACGAATGCATTGATATATTTGCTTTTCAGATAGTGGTATGTATATCTGCGGACATTAATATACGCAGGTGTCTGTTAGTATTGGCATTAATATCAATATGAATATGACTATTGGTAGGCGTAGGAGTATTAATGTTAATAATAGAATTAGTAATGTGCATATTCGAAATGAAAGCATTAATATACATGTCAACGTTAGTGTTAAAAGCACTACACAGTAATCTTACTTGAGTCATATATAGAGCAGATTCCAGCATTTCCAAAATTTCCAAAATTCTCTCCCCTAACTTTCCGGATTTCCAAAATTTCCAAAATTTCCAAAATTTCCAAAATTTCCAAAATTTCCAAAATTTCCAAAAAGTCCGCCCTTATGTTTTGGAAAAATCCTGTCGACTAGGTCGGGAAATTTTGGGAAATTTTGGAAATTTTGGAAATTTTGGAAATTTTGGAAATCCGGAAAGTTAGGGGAGAGAATTTTGGAAATTTTGGAAATTTTGGAAATGCTGGAATCTGCTCTATATATGACTCAAGTAAGATTACTGTGTAGTGCTTACTATGTAGTGTGTCAGCACAACCCTCATCCATACACGTGTGCTCTGTAATTCCTTTCTTGGTAGGACACCCGCGCGCCTTATCGTGCTGCTTTCTGGTCTCAGTCTTGAGATGGTTCCAGGGATACGTTCGGAGGGCTCAAACTCGATACTCCGGAAAAAGCACGAACACGCCGGTGGGAGCGATGTTTTAAAGGGGATGGTCTGTCATGGGGGGGGTGGGGGGACCATATATATATATATATATATATATATGTATATACAATTTATAGATAGATAGATGGCTAGAGATAAATACACGTACTTATGTACATGCAGGCCCAATTCGGGCGACGCGAATGGCGTAACCTTCAGACAACCGCGTGTGTATGCGCGCGTAAAGCTATCCATATGCGCGTATGTACGCCCACCTGTTGACGGTGGGCGCGAGTCAAGTCAAAGGCTCAGGAGATAGATGGAAACGATGTTGTCGTCGAAACCCGACAAAACCGCCGCGTACAGGCCAATGCTATCAGACTCTATCAACTCTATCAGGCGGGATACAAGTTTCGGCAAGCCTGTACAAATACTGCAGGGGCCTTAATACATGTAGCTGCTTTGGAGTACATCACACTTTACGTACTTAGTTTGGGAATATAAGGGGGTCTGGCTGCAAATTCTTAAGCCCCCTATCATCAGCCAATTCACCCGAACTGGTTCCCCGAACTCGGCCTCCTCGTTGGTAAGCAGCGCGTCGGGGGGCGTCGGGGCTTTGGTAACCTCTTTCTCACCACCTGCTGATGGAAGGACATCCCTTTAAACCCTAAAACCCCAAACCCCACACCCCAGCACTAAACCTTGAACTCCAAAAACTTGGACTTGAACATAGGCCGGGTGAAATGCGCTGATACTGCCAATGGCAATAACTCTCCACAGTGGATGTTATGGGAACGTCCGTAGGAGGTAGGATTCGGGTGCCCCGGGGCATAGACCCTCTCAATACGGCCCCCTTTAAGGGGTCGCCCTAATACTACCAAGGATTCCGAGAGCCCGATCAATATCCGAGAAGAACCGTTCATCTTGAACTCCTGTCATCTCGGACCGTTTATGTCCCCCTTCACCCTACCCCTGCTTGCTGAGGGGCTGGGAATACCCTCGCCCAACAAAAGCTAAGCTTGGCGTTTCTTGTAGGATGAAATAGACCCCAAAAGGTTAAAGGTTGCCCACTCAGCTACTAACTAACTGGTATAGAAGCCCCTATGGAGACCCTCACAAAAACCCTTTGAGGAACCCCATCAAAATAGCCCCAATGCCTCAGCTAGTATGGTCTTTGGGTCCAAACGCCTTAATCTATGAGTCCTCAGAGTTTTAGGGTTAAGGAACCCTAACAAAGATCCCTTTAAGGAACCCTTATAGATCCCATTTCAATGATCGAGGGAGGAATCTTCGAGGCTTTTTTGGAGGAGCGCTTGGCAGTTTAAGGCTTGCGGTTTTCGTAAAGCAGTCAAGGGGCGCCCCAGAAAAAGAAAAAAAACGTGTAGGGATGTTTAGGGTTTAGGGGTTTAGGGTTTAGGGGTTTAGGGTTACGGAAGTTTAGGGTTTAAAATTTAAAGGGTTTGTGATTAAATGATTACCCAGAGTTTAGGGCTACAACCGGCTTCAGGAGGTACCCTCTCAGGTCTGCTCAGTCTAGGTGGGGCTTTGGGGTTTCGGGAAACTTGACGGACGGGTCCGAGGTTCAGGGTGGAGGGTGTAGGCCTTTAAAGGGCTCCTACAATGACTCCTATAACGGTTCTTACAGGGGTTCAGACTCATAATTGTTCGAATCTGCAGAAAGTGGCCTGTCGTCTGCGCTAGGAGCATGCCTGAAACAGTTGCACTGCAATCCTACGTACCTGGAGACTCTAAATACACTTCGTAGACTCGAGATCCCGACGATATGTTGAGGAACATTTCTGATTTGCGAGATTTGTGGAGTTTGAGGCTTTGGGCAGCGCCTCATCCACAACCCCTTGCCAAAAACTGCGAGCCGTGACTCATTGATCCTGAGCGGCAGGCCCATAATCAGGTATCAGTATATCCCAGAATTCCCATAGTTGAAGGGGCCAACGAAAAAACCGGAAATTGTGCACCAAAGCAATCAACCGTCGCCCTCTGCTTTGCCTTCCTCCTTGGCCTCTTCCCCCTCTGCGGAAGGAGCCTGCAATTGGAGGGGCAGAGGACTTACTGTTGATGATGTAAATCCTGCATTACCTTAAGGGCCCTAAACTATGGGAATTATGGCATGTATTCCTTATTATGGGTAATGCAGGATTTATATCATCAACCGTAGTTAGTAACTAGGTTACACGTAGAGCTAGAAGTACTCTTACATGGACTTACCCCAATCATAACCCTACTTATAACCTACTTACTAAGTCCCAAAAGGCCCCTCCAAGTAGACCCTAAACCCTAAACCCCGTAGATCCCTTTAAGGAGCCTTTTAAGAGCCCTTCATGTCTTCTGGGTTGCAGTATTTTGCAGTCTACGGTGAGAGGCGAGCCGGTTTCAAGGGCTTAAAGTAAAAGCCAGAAAGTTGGAATATGATTATCCAAAACCTTCTATGGTAAACTATAGGGTATGCTACCCTGAAACCATATTCCAACTTTCTGGAGTTCCCTTTAATGTTCCGTCTACCCAGCTCCCTTTTTCCGCAAAGTCCGAGTAGAAGCTACCCAGAGGCCCCACAGTAGTTCCTTTTTGGGATTACCTTGTAGGGTTCTATGTGCGAACCCCAGAAAGGAACTACCTTGGGGCCTTTGGGTAGATCTCGGTGTTTATGTTTCTCTGACTCTTCCGAAACCAGAAAACCAAAGTTTCAGGGCATTTTGGTGGGCTTAAATCTTCTCGGGCTTTCATGCTTCGGAGCGCTGGCGAACAGCGCTTTAGCCAGGCTGCTGCGTGCTTCCGCTTCACTCATCAACTCACTGTTCCTGGCATATCCGACAGTCGTATATAAAGCAGAAGCACATTATTGGATTGAGAAGGAGGGCCAGCAGCTCGGCGAAGGCACCCTTCCATCATGCGGCGGATCAAATTTTATTACATCTAGTACGGCGACTGTGAGAACTTTGCAAGAATTGTCTAAGAATCGAATCTGACAAGAAGTGCTCGGCAGCAGTCTGACAAAAAAATCACCTGCCTGGGAAAGCGTGTCGGCTGCATCGCCAAGGTCTTTGCAGTAAGAAGTTACCGCTGTGACGATCCGGTAGATACGGCGGAACACGTTCAGCTGGCCGGATCACCATTCGATTGCATTCGCCTTCTCAACATCAAGAAGCCGTCGTAGCACGGACACCTGCCGCACGTGCCACCCACTCCGCTGGCAGAGCGAGTTCGGCAACGGGGCGTTGTAGGCACCGTCTTGTCTCAATCCGGCAACCCATTCATCCTTAACAGAGAGCACCAGCAAGTATGCATCTGTATGCTAAACCGAGCTCACTGGAGTTCGTTCTACATTTTCTTGTGAACTAAGTACTCAAAACGAATAAACAAGCCTGAACTCGAAATTGAATCGCTTGAAGCCGCACTGAACAACCAATTACCTAATTACCGTGTGTGCCTCTGCTTGGCTTGAAACACTTGTGTTTCTTCACAAGCCTGCTGGCCTTGGATTTGCTTGCAGGATTTACGATCATGGGACTTAATAAATATGGTTATGAGTACCTTAACTGGGGTTATTAGCTACCCCAAAAACAACCCTAGTTACTAAGTCCCATGATCCTTGAAGTAGGAATTAGGGAACCTTGAGTCTCGAGAACCGTAATTCCCGTAGCTGCAACTCCCAGGCCCTAAGCCCTAACCGAGGCCAAACCTAAAGCCTAAACCCTATAAGCCTTAAACCCTAAACCCTGAACCCTGTTGTACATCCTTTAAGGATCCCTTCAAAGGAACCCCTATACCTAAACCCCCCAAAGTAGGTAAAATAATAGCCCAACACCCTATAAAAACGGCCATTATTCTGCAGACTTTTGGGGTCCAGGTCAGGTGATACCTAACAGCCCTGGACCCCCAACGCACCGAAGCCCAAGGCCCCTAAATCCTAGCCCAAAAGCCTTTCATAGCATGGTCTTCGGACCCAACAACCTGAAAACTCGAGTCGTGAGATCCTCAGGGTGACGCCTGCCTGGTTCAGGGTTTAGGGTTTAGGGTTTTGGGGTTCAGGGATTAGGGCTTTTAGGGTTTTAGGGTTTAGGGTTTAGAGTTTTTAGGGTTCAGGGATTAGGGCTTTTAGGGTCTTAGGGTTTAGGGTTCAGGGTTTTTAGGGTTTAGGGATTAGGGTTTTTAGGGTTTTAGGATGTTTTAGGGTTTAGGGTTCAGGGTTTTTAGGGTTCAGGGATTAGGGTTTTTAGGGTTTTAGGGTTTTGGGTTCAGGGATTCCAGGGTTTAGGGCCTGCCTAGAGGTTCAAGTACCCTTGTCTTCCAGGATCCACGTATTTTCAAGTACCCTTGTCTTGTAGGATCCATGTATTGTAAGTAACTACAAGCTCTGAATAGGCTTTGGTTCCGCAAGAAATGCTGTTTGAGTTTTTGGGGGGCAGAAGTAGATTCAGCGAAGCTTATCCTACTTGTCGGGTATCATGCGGAACTAAAGGTTAACCTTGTTGGTTATATAGGGGTTTTACGGACTATACTACCCAAAAAAATGTTGAAGGTTACCTACACAACTACAAGGTTACTGTGGGTGATATAAATCCTGCATTACCCTTCGTAAGGAATATACCATAATTTCCACAGTTTAGGGTCCTTAAAGTAGTGCAGGATTTATATCATCAACCGTATCACGAATACACAATGCTGGCGCCTCCTCCGCTGCAGCCTCGCTCACCGTCCACCTCGGAGCAGCACGGAAGCCTACGCGCTGACTGCCGTTCAGGGCTTGCGGCTTAGGGCTTCAGGGTGTCCGAAGCCCCACGTCCTAAACTCTAGGTATCGAAAACTAAACCCTATACTAACCCAGTGTAATTGGGCTTTGGGGGCAGGGTTGGCTTGGGATGTCACTGTAGGGATCCAACCCAAATTGGCCGCAAGGTAGGAACCCAATTATGTAGGAGCCCTGTCTCTTTGCTTGTGTATTGTAGGGGCCTTAATAATTCGAATAGGGTTTGGGGGCACATTATGCTATAGTTATAATAGACATAAGGAAGCCCCAAAATAGTATAGGTAATTACTTAGGTATTAACTGTATATTTGTACAAGTGGTCTATCTGAAAATTCTATGTGTGTCAACAGACAACAATGCCAACCAAACACATGTATACCACCCAAACCTCCCAACGTGATCAAGCCCTGCATCAATCAGGTGAATCATTTTGACATATGTGCGGAGAAAACATGAATAACTGCGCAAACTAAATATGGATTTGCAGATAGAGAAACAGATAGATAGAGGTATATGGGCAGACAAGTTAACCGACAATAGCTAGGTCAGATAGGCAAGCAGATCCAGTATGAATGCGAGTATGTGAATGTACGCAGTATGCAGCAACACATGCACACACGGAATGCAAATGTAGAGTCATGATGCTTCTCACGCTCCAAACTCAACTTACTCCCTCCCCAGTAGACCAAAGAAATAAAAGGATAAACTTTCCGCTCCCTACTAAACTATAATATGAACCCAAAAAGTTTAAAGGTTGGATATTGGGGATCGAGGAATCAGAGTCAATTTACGGTCCCTTTTACAAGTTTCCGGTCCCTATTGGGCATCTAAGTTAAGATACCAACCAGGTCCCGTGCGTAAATCGAACTGTTCCAGCCGGCTTCCCCTCCGCATCCAGAGCCTTCCACAGTTCCGCCAGCTGCGGGGGGGGGCTATACGATGAGGGCCTTTTTGATTAACATGGTGTTGTGGGGTATGTTTTGCTAGAACAAGCCCTTTCACTGTAGGTGCTTGCGTGGCTCTGTACGGTAGATAGCACGAGAAGGTGCGTGAGTTGACAAACATGTAACAAGACACCAGCACAGCCAGACAGGTGTCCCATTCCCCTCAATGGCAAATCACAACCTCGAACCCCGATCCTTCGTCGCACGACCCCGCCTTTAATCCTGACTTCTACACCCTCTTTTCTACAGCCGAGAACCCTTTCCAAATCACGCTTACAGCCGCGGTTTCATGAAAGTCGCCTCCGCAGCTGCTTCTGCTGAGGGCTCCTCCCCCTGCTTTTGAATCGGGTTTCGTGTGATTTTTGCTTGTGGCACTGGGGCTGGAGATAGGGATTTCGAGAGCGTGGGGTTAAGAGTAGAGTTTAAGTTTAGCTTTTGGGGATTCTAGTTTTGAGAGTGCAGGGTTAAGAGCACAGATTAAGGCAGGGGTTTAGCTTGTGGGGCTTTGCAGATGACGGCGTAAGTTTTGCGGAACAGCCTGGAAGACAGATGCATGCGGATGAGGTCTCAACGGACTATGATATAATAGGGGCGCTAATAATTAGAATAGGGTTTTGGCGCACGTTATACTATAATTAGAAGAAGGAACCCCCAAAACAGTATTGGTATTCATTGAGGTCCCTATAGTACCGGGTGTTGACACCTAAATAAACTTCCACTGCTTTTCGAAGACGTACGCAACAATCACACGAGCAACTCCTTACCTGACCTGAGGATAACCCAAATCCTGCATTACCTTGAGGACCGTAGACTATGCGACTGATTATATAGCTCAAAGGCTTTCAATCCCAAGCCCACCCCCACCCTCACCCTACACCCGGACCCTTGCAGCCGAAGACGGCCTGCCAAAAGTATACTGGGGAGCCGCTACAACAGGAAGCTTAATCATCCGCGGAGAAACGAATTTCTTAAGAATGCCATCCACCGGAAAATGGTGGTACGCAACCCTGCGGGTTCTGTCAAGAAAGCTACATCAGTCCCGTGTGAAGCCACTCACAACACCACTGCAACAACCTAGACCATAATCCTCTAGAGCGCGGTAGGCTCTAAACCTTTAAACCCTTTCACTGACACCCTCAAACCCCACGCATTAAAACCCTAAACCATCCTAAACTCCCAAACCCTAAAATCCTAAACACCAACACCAAACAAAACGAGAAATCCCCCAGTGCGGCGACCTCACCCCCTACAACTCTAAACTCTAAACCCCCAAAACCAAAAATAAAAAACATAAATCCCCTACCATAAACCCTGAAATCCCATACACCCCCAAACCCCAAGAAACCCAGAAATCCCCGAGTGGGCCGACCTCGGGAAGGCTCTCCAAGGAGAGGAGCGCCGTGACGCCGACCTCGGGGGACAGAGGAGTTCCTTTTGGGCTTTGAGTTTAGGGTTTAGGGCTCCTTAAAGGGCTCCTTTCAAAGGGGATCTATAGGGGGTTCTATATCAAGGGGTTTAGGGTTTACTTAAAGGATCATGGGACTTAGTAACTAGGCTTATAAGTAAGGTAACTGTACTTATACTTACCTAAAACGCCCATGAAGGTACTTACAACCCATACTTGCTAAGCCCCATGATCCTATAAGTAGGGCTCCGTAAAGGGATCCTTAAAGGGTTCCTTAAAGGGATCTAGAAGGGTACTATGTTCGGGTTAGGGTTTAGGGTTCCTTCCGGGGTTCCTCAAAGGGATCTAAATAGGATTTGTCGCGGTTCTAGTCTTTAAAGGGCCCCATAAAGGGATCTAATCATAAAGGGTGCTACATTGGGAATCATGGAACCTAGTGAGTTGTAGGTATGGCTCCAGATGCCTGCATAGTAGGTGACTAACCACATATTTAAGTACCCCAGTAAACCTAATTTTTAGGCAACCGGAGCCCTCAGGAAAATATTCGAATCCCTTTTAAGCGTTACTTTCAGGATTTTATGAAAGCTTTCCGGTGTTCCTTTCTGTGCTCCGTTCAGTATTCCACAGGTCAGGGTTCCTCTCCGCACACGGTTCCATCAAGGTCGGAGGTCTGCCGGGCTGTAGTAGTGGCGCCCGCCTTCTTCCTGGCCGAAGACTACTCGGAGGGGCAGCGGACTTAGTAAGCAGGTTGTAAGAAGAGATATAAGTACCCTAAATGGACTTAACCCAATTATAACACTACTTTTAACCTACTTACTAAGTCCCCTGTCCGGGTTTCTGTAGATTGTGAAGTTATAAGTATAAGGGCGAAGCCGGTGAGATCGTGGTGACGATATGGGCTTTCGAGCTTCAACCACCGTCTGGCATGATATTGGGGGGGAGTTCCGAAAATAGGGGACCCTCATACAGCACCCTAAATGGTAGTAGGATCCTCTATGCATCTTATAAGGACCCCAAAATGAGGTACCCCTAATTTTCGGAAACTTCCATACTGCGATCTCTCGCCGGCCGACTCTGCTTGTTGTTGTCCTTCTGCCTAGAGCCCCCTAGTAGTTCCTTTTTGGGAATTACCTGATAGGATTCTATATACGAACCCCCAAAAAGGAACTGCTTTGGGGCCTTTGGGTAATCCTTCTTCCTCTAGGAACTCCTGTATCAATCACAAATGCGCTCGTCAAGATCAAGACTTTCGGTCATGAACAGGGCAGGATATCGAAACTGAACTGCCGCACACCAAACTAAACCTGAAACCATGCTTAAGTATTCCTGAACACTGATGAATCCCTGCAACACAAACCACAACTTTCTCCAAACATCGCTTGAACAAACGAAGGTACCGATATCCCCTTTGAGCGTACCATCCGGAAATTCCTATGAACCCTGGAACTCACACGCCCGAGGCCCTGTAGCCTCCAAACCTACCCTACAAAATCCTAGCACTCACCATGAACCACATTAAGACAAACCCCTTTGAGGGTTTAAGCCTTTAAGCTCTGGACACAAACGGACACCCGCTCAGACTTACACCATGATTAAAGGCCTATATAAATCCTCAAGCCTGTTAAAACAATACAGTAAACCCCCATAAAGTTGGAAACCGGATTAAGGCCGAACAGTGCTGGGCTTCCCTATACATTACTCTTAAGATTGAGGCTATGGAGTTTCCAACTTTTGGGGTTCTACTGTAACTGGATACCCCAACGGTCCAAGTACCCAATAATCATATACTCCCCAAAATCCTAACCTACATAACTACTATCCGAAAACCGAGTACCTAATTATTGGGTCCTGTGGAATCTTGGGGTTAAGACAAAACTGGAAACACCATGAAACACCACCCTAAACCCCTAAACTCGAAACCACTAAGCCCTTAATCCTAAACCTTAAACCCTTAACCGAGGCACTTCGCCAGTCTCCCTCGTTGCACGCAGCAGTGCCACGGGCGCTGCGTCCCCGGGCAGCCGCAGCGAGAGCTCAGGCAGCTGGGAGCCTCCGGAACTTGGGAGCCTTGGGGGGGGGATTTCTGCTCTTATCTTTGGTTCTATATATATATATATATATGTCTATCTATATATATATATAGATAGCTATAATAAGAATCGCAGCATATTCGTATTATTCTACTGAAGTCAAAGAAGAAAGAAGGCCTTTTTTTGACTTTACGGAGAGCTTCGACATGGCATGACTCGAAGTGAGCAACCGTCGTTATATCGGAAGCTTTCAAGAGGTATCTCCATCCCTACCCTCGTCGTTTAATAAGTTTGGTTCCTTAAAGGGATCCTTACAAGGTTCCTCAAAGGGATCTATAAGGGTTCTATAATGGGAGGATCATGGGACTCAGTAAGTATGGTTATAAGTACCTGAATTCGGGCTATAAGTAAGTATAAGTATAGTTGCCTTAGTAATAAGCCTAGTTACTAAGTCCCACGATCCTTTAAGTAGCCTCGTATTTCCCGTCCTCGCTTCTGGAGTCCTGCCGACGAAACACGCACACCTGTATTATGCTGACACTCGAAGGTTACGGAACTCCTATGTTGCAAGTCTTCTAAAAATGAAACATGCCCTCCAACCACCGGCCCGAAACAACGAAAGCCAAATGCAAAAATCCTTTACTTTACAGAAACCCTAACCCCAACAAACCCTCTTACCCTAATAGCCAATAGAGCCCTAAACTTGATTAACCCGAAACCCTCCTACCCTAATAACTGAATAACCCTCCTGCGCTAATCACTGAATTAATCCGGCCTCCTCTTACCCTAATATTTAAAGAAAGGCCTAAACTTAATTAACCCTACAAGCCCCCAACCCTAACCCCTTAAAGCCTGAATCCTAAATGCCTAAACCCCCAAACCTAAACCCTTAACCCCTAAACCCTAAACCGCCAAACCCCTAAACCCAAAACCCCGCAACCTTAAAAAACCCAAAACTGCCAAAGGTGCCTTCTCCAGGTGCCGTCTCTGCAGCCGGGGCTGTGCCGGCAGCGAAGAACCCTCAGATGGTAAGCTTGAAGGTACCATGGGGTTTGGGTTTAGGATAAGGCTTAAAGTTTTAGGATTTTGGGCTTAGGGTTGAAAGTTCAGGGTTTAGGGCATATGCCCTCGCATTGTGGCAAGGCCATTGGGTGTGTGAGAAGGTTGCTTTGGAGAGTAACCGTCAACCCATTCTCTGGTGGGTAGCTATATTTAAGGTGGTTCCTTTGGACAGCCTTCCTTAGTTGCTGAGTTCAGAAGCCCCAAAAGGTGCACACTTTTAGTTTTAAAGGGGTTGATATTGCCCCAAATCAAAGAGTATACGGTGTATCCACTCAAGTACTAAGATTCAAGGGACGTAAGATTCTTGTGGGAGGTACTTTGTGGGTTCCTCCATGGGATAGGCGAGGCCCTGGTGCTCCTTTGACTTAAGGGCCGGGATCTACAATCCGCAAGGCTTCAGGGTGGGTGTGGGCTTCTCTTGGATCTCAAATTAACTTTGGGCTTCAGGCTTCATCGCCGCGGTTGCTCTTCGGCCCGTGAGGGTCTTTTGCCCTTTCATCAAACACGTCGTCCCATGGATGTGGCCCTTCAGCTACCGGTGGGAGCAGGCTGCAAAGGAATGCCGGCAAGCCGAACTTCACCAGGAGCCAGGCTGGCTGCCCAAGGGCTCGTTGGGCAAGAGCAGTGGCCCATTCGGCCAGCGTTGGAGGGTGACCAAAAGTGAACGTCGTCCGACGCTTGCAGGTCGCTAGCAGGGCTTCAACCGAGGTTTCGCTCGCAGCTGGCACCCTCAGCCATGTGCTGGACACTAGGCCCATCATGATGGACTTACAGAAACCTTACCTGAACCCGTGAGGATCTTTCGAGCGCTGGTATGGGTTCTACCTGCTGCAGTCAGGCGCCACGCTGTTATGCGCAGAGTTCCGACAAATTCCTAAGACGCGACGCTTACCGCTTGCATTATGGGCACCCTAAACCCTAAACCCTACCCAGAAGCCCCACAGTAGTTCCTTTTTGTCACTACCTTATAGGGATCTTTCTATATACGAACCCCAAAAAAGAACTACTTTGGGGCCTTTGGGTAATGATTAGCCTTGGATGCAAGCCCTCCCTCGGGGCCTCCTTTACATGGCGTTGAACAGGCTACTTATTTGTTGGATGGAACTATGGGAGCGTAGCTCTCACTGAAAAACTTGGCGTCTCCATTACCACTGGCAAATGCCAGAACTTTCTTGCCCAATAAAGATTCCAGTGTCTCTGTTTCGCAACACAGTTGGGAACAGCAAACCGATTCCACCACAGCTTGTTGAATCTGAGCTTCGTTGGCGGTGTCGCGCGTGTCACCTTGTGTTCAGACCGTAGTTGATCATGGCATCTCGAACTCTTTCATGTTCAGGTCTTTGAGCATGCTTGTCTTTGTCTGCGTCCACTGTCGACGCTGAACGCACCATGTTCGCCAACGCCTGAGCCGAATTGGAAGGCGCACTTTGCTCCACAAGCTGAAGACCACAGGCCTCGCGCATCTTCTTCTCCGTGACGCCCTCCACTGCCATCTTTTCGATCAGATCTCGACACTGCTCGGTTGAGGAGTCAGAAGATCTCATGGCTGCCGAGGATCCTTTTCAGGAAGGCAAGCAGAGGAGATTGATGCCGGGCGCCGACCAAACCCAGCAGAACTTCGACAGCCTCTTCGCAGCGACCTCCGCCACCTGTGAGGCCTCTCTTGCTGGCCTGCCACGTCCTGCAGATAGAAACACTGACCGAACCATCGGCTTCCAGACGAATAGATATATACTTGGAGCAAGTTCGGCAAAGGCAGCCTGCGTGGTCAGACCACATGCGACATCTGGCAGCAGCAGCTTTGGGGGTTCATCGCACCAGGATCAGTGATTTGTTCGTGAGGGACTATGTAGCACTGCGGTGGGTCATGGAAGGCGACAGGTTTCTTCGCGCGCATGGTGGCGTCTGCTACCTGTACCACGACCACGGAGCTTTCCAAGCTTTCGTTGGAGTTCCTCCAGAGTCGACTTTCGCGCGGCTGAAACCGTTTCTTAATTGCAGTTGGAAGGCATATTCTGTGTCATGAGGCCGGGAGTAGAAAGAAACGATTCTGCATTGCTTGGTGAAGTCGAGCGGGTCCAAGAGCACAACAATGAGACGGACTTCCTGAATCATTGCGTGGACGAGGCGATCATGTCCGGAGGCAAAAAAGCTGCGGGAAGAAGTCTCGGCCGGCCGGAGCATGGCTCCTGAAGTGGAAGAAAGCAGAGCAGAAGCAACAACTTCTTGTTCCTGGCGCTTTTGACTGCAGACATGATCAGTCGCGTCCCAGCACCCTTGCAAAAGATCTCTTGGAGGAAAGGAAACTGCTGCAGTACGTTGCTCGCTGGTGTTCCACCATTTCGCCGCGTTGTCCTGGGGTCGCCTACACAGACTGCTGCGTGCTCTACGACTCCACTGAGGCACAAATCACACGTCTAGTGGTTCCGAGTCCAGAAATGAACCTCGATGTTAGCATTGCTCACCCACTACAAGCATATGCGCTGGATGATCCGGAGTTCAAAGGAGCAAATCTTCGCCTGGAAAGGTTTTTCAGACAAACGTTTTGGTGCAACGAAAGCTCCTGCAGGCCACCATGGCCGCACTTGCCTTGGCTAAACGAGGAGAAATCATCGACCGATGTTTTATCGGTGAATCTCCTGGCGGCGCCGGCCAGTCCATGTACAGTTCTCATCTCGCAGCAGCTTAAGGAAGAAATCACGCATTTATAGATTCGAACCTTTTCCATAATGAAGACGAGATGAGGACGCAGTTAGAGTCCTTCGCGCACTGCTTCATATTGACAGCGCAGGAAACTCCAGAAGCAAACAAGGCATTCCAGCAAGACTTGTTCAAGAAATTAGCCTCTGCAGATGATTTGGCGGCCAGGCGTCCGTACGGCTTCGTCACCAGAATGTTTCGATGTTTCGGATGGAAGCGTTATGAGTCCAACCAAATCATGCAGTTCAAGAACGTCAAAGAGCGCAATTTCTTTCCATTTACCGTCGATGTGCGGTGTGGGAGCCGAAGCCTTTGCTCTGGGACGACAAGGTACTGGTAGCCGAGTATCCGGATTCATATTTGGACGGCATCTTCGCCAAGGGCACAACCTTGAGAGCGTTTCTGGAGTTGGGGCCCGGAAGCTGCTACTTCTGCGTTGTTCATGTGATCTTCCAGCTCTCCTTAATACGACAACCGATGAGTCTTGACTTTCCACAGCCGAACCTCCGCACGTGTCCTGCCACAACTCCTCTGCTGCTGATCTTTGTTGTGTTGAACTGCTTAATAAGTAACTGTCCAACATCAGCTTCACGTCTGCAGACATGTCGGGCACCTGATCCAAAAAAGGGCCGACGATCTTCAAATCGGGATGCAGGCAGACGACGTACATTGCTCGAACCGAAACATTGTAGTACTTCTGCAGAATGTAGTTAAACAAATTGAGCTGTAAGCGGTAGTGAAACCCAGCACAGTCGGGAACATGAGATAGTGGCGCACTGATGTTAAGGGTTTAGGGCTTAGGGTTCAGGGTTTAGGGCACGAAGAGACCAAAACCCATATCCTCTAATCAACCTCTGCGGCCCCAAAGCATAAAGCCTTCGGATCCTATCTTCGTGAGCCCAGTGTCGCTCGACGGGTGGCGCCGGCAGGACCGACGGCTCCGAGAGGGAATTCTGCGAACCAGGGGTCTTTGTAAGAGGCCCAAATGTACAAATGTAGGGGCCGCAAAACTAGTAATTAGAATAGGGTACTGTAGTTCTAAAAAGGAGCCCCCAAAGAACGCTCTTGGTAATTATTTGAGCCCCTACATTACTTGAGGTCTTCCTTGTTAATTTTGCTACTGTTTAAGGCTTTGGGTTTACGGTCTTTCAGAATCTGAGGCTCCTTTCTTTGTTGTGATATTACATTGATGTCTCTTGTGTGACCATGTTGATAAGAAGCACTAAGCCGATGTCTTTCTTGGGATTTGACGGGTTTTGGCTTCTGGCATCCTTCCAAAACCGTCTAAGGCCCTTATCAATCCGCATTCGCCCCAAACCGGCACAAAATCATACTAAACCCTCGAACCACCTCATAAAATAACATTGTACAGCTCTGACGTTTTCCGTGCCTCTAAGTGTGGGGCTTAGAGCTTAGAGAGTTTAGGATTTACAAGGGCTTTCGGGCTGATAAAGGTGAGGTGCGGTGTCGAGATTGGGATTTAGGATTTAGAATTCTACTTTTTGGGGATTTGAAGATGTTGAGGATTTAGAAGATGTTAAAAACAATAGGATCTAGGCTTCGAGTTGAGGGTTTAGACATCGGGTTAGCTCTTTGACAAAGCTTGTGGGTCGTAGCCTGGGTTCTGCTCAATTAAGCTACCATGTATACTAAGGATCTACGTAATTAAGTTACCATGCATAGTATTTATAGTAGGGATCTATAGCAAATAACATGGTTTCCTTATTATTTACTATGGCACCTTAAATTACATCCTTTATTAAAAGGAGCCCAGGAGCTCATGGCTGCAGGTTCTACCTCGGCCCTACTGTTGCACCGCCGGCTTTGGGTGTCTGGGCTCTGGGTTCTTCTTAACGGATTTAAAGTGAAGGCACCATAGTAAGCAGACCTCAGTAGGAAACCATATTATTAATATACATCCCTGTTAAGGTAATTTAAATTTGATTTAAGGTACTGTAATACGGAAACCATATTATCTGAAATAGTTCCCTCTTATGGTAACTTATATTAGACTTCTTAGCAAGAACCCAGGCTCCGGGTCTAGGTCTTAGGCTTTAGGGTTTGGGGTGTTGGCAGGTTTTTGTATGTAACCTAAAACTCTTACTGCAGACCCCGCCTTCATGAGCGTTTATGCTATTCGCTGAGGCCCAGATGTAAAAGCCTTTAGATTAATAAAAACTCGCCCAATAGCAGCCAAATCAAATCGTCAACGCAACACAATGCAACGCACCCGTAATCAGAATTTCCAGTCCAATCATGAGGCTCCTCGATTAAGCCCTCTAAAACCTTGCACAAGCCACATTCTGAAAACTCGCTGGGCCCTAAAAACCTAAAACAATGTACCGTCTAAGAGTTCAAGCACGCTACAAAGTGGCTGAAATCCCTTTAACACCCTATTCTGGTTGTGAAAGCCCTACATTCTCGCTAAATTGAACGGCCCTAAACTACCCAAAGGCTCCATGTACCCTCATAGTAGATACTTAAGCCCAAAAGTAATCCCTATGCAGGTACTTTAAGGCCTAAGTATCTACTATAAGGGTACATGGAGCCTTAGGGCTACCTTAATCCTAAACCCTACAGTAGAAGCCAGAAAGTTGGAATATCATTATCGCAACCCCTTTAAAGGTGAATTATAGGGGATCCTACCATTAATCCATATTCCAACTTTCTGGAGTTCCCTTTAAACCCCGGGTTGAAATCCTCAGTTCTAATAAAATACTCTAGACCCGAAGACCGAAACTCCTAAAAACCTGAAACCCTGAACTGCAAACCTGACGGTTTAGGGTTTAGGGTTTAGGGTTTAGGGTTTAGGGTTTAGGGTTTAGGGAGCCCGAAACCCTACTTGGAGGATCATGGGACTTTGTAAGTATGGGTATAAGTACCTCAACTTACCATAATAATAACCCTAGTCACTCAATCCCATGATCCTTCAAGTATCGCAGTCCTCGAGGATCTGAAGCTGCCAGTTAAGTTGTAAGCCTCGGGCTTTGGGGTTTAGGGTTTTAGGGTTTTAGGGCTTATCGGGCTTAGGGTTTATCGTGTTCAGGGTGGAGTTTGGGGTTTAGGGCCTGGGGCTTAGAGCTGCAAACTCGGTTCCTTTCACGGCTTGTGTGGCTTGGGATTTGGGGTCCCAGACATGTGGAACATGAAGAAGCTGGACATACATACACACACCGAGATAAATAGATAAATAAATACACATATATATATATATATATTATACACATACACCACACGCACATGTATACTGTATACAACTAAAACTACATCGCAATCAACCAATCACATTGCAAGACGACTGTGTCGCCAAAAGCAGTCGCGGGTGCGACCTTAGAATTACATGTCTAGGCTGGCTCACTACCCAGAGGCCCCACAGTAGTTCCCTTCTTATAGGATTCTATATACGAACCCCAAAAAGGAACTACTTTGGGGCCTTTGGGTAGAGGAAGAGCCGCTGATTTTGTTTGGGATCTCACTACGAGGGTCCAGGAGCATTAGGGTAAGCCCTAAACCCCAAGACCCAACCCCAAAGCCCTGTACCCTAAACTCCGAAACCCTTAAACCCTATAAGCCCTACTTGGAGGGGCACAGGACTTAGTAAGTAGGGTTATAACTGGGGTAACTCCATTTACGGTACTTTGTACTCTACTTATAACCATACTTACTAAGTCCCCTGCCCCTCCAAGTAAACCCTAAACCCTAAACTCCCAAACCCCGTAAACGGTAAACCCTACACCCTAAATTCTAGTATAGATGCCCTTTGAGCCTTTAAAGGAACCCGTGTAGATCCCTTTAAAGGAACCCGAAGTTGCGTCCGGCTTAGGGCCAGGCCCTCCTCGGCTTGGAGCGCCGGCGACGCGCAAAGGCGGCCGCTGAGCTTCAGCGACCTCTTGGGATTCCCTTTAAAAGGTGTCCTTTACAGGGATTGGTGTTCCTTTAATTTAAAGGACCACTAATACTAATCCCTCCCTTATATTGAAGGGAGGGATTAGTGTTCCTTCTCAGGCAGGGATTAGTGTTCCTTTAATTTAAAGGACGGTTCCTTTAAAGGGAGGGTTTAGGGTTAAAGGGAGGAATTAGGGTTTAGGGTTCCTTTAACTTGGTTGCTGAGTTCATGAGCCCCAGAAAGTGTACACTTTTACTTTTATAGTGAGTGACATTATCCCAAAAAATGTAAAGTGTATCCAGGGACCCTTACAAGGAACCCTCGGCCACTTCGCCCGAAAATCTTCGGTCTCCACCAGAAAGACTCAGGGCCTTCCCGTGCGCGGAAGACGGCGCCAGAGTGTGTGCCGCACCTGAGTTACTATACCAATACTATTCTGGGGTTTCTTTTTGCAATCATTCCCGAAAGCATCGCGAAGGGTTCTTCCGGGCGGAGCCGGGTGGATGAGTGCATAGATGACAGACATAGAATCAACTTACTTGACTCCATACTTTACTTCACTCTACACTTGATACTTGACTCTACACTTGATACTTACTTACTTACTTGACCTCTATGACTGACTCTCTACACTTGACACTTGACTCTATGATACTTGACTCTACACTTGATACTTGACTCTATGTTATGCTTACGACTTACTTACTTACTTACTTAGTTACTTCACTCTACTTACTTACTTACTTGACACGTACTTACTTACTTACTTATTACTCTTACTTACTTACTTACTTACTTACTTGACGCTATGCCTCTATGACTGACTCTCTATGCCTCTATGACTTACTCTCTACATCTCGGTATCTAATTCTCTCTTCTAAAGCCAGGGGTGGCACCGTTGTCGTCCATCGGGAATGCAACCCTTCCCAGGGATTCGCCTCCTGGGGCGTTCAAACGCGAGGTAAAGTTACACATTTTAGGGTTCCCGCGCAACCCTTCCCAGGGATTCGCTGCCTCGGGCGTTCAAACGCTAGGTAAAGTGACACATTTTAGGCGCACCGCGCAACCCTTCCCAGGGATTCGCTGCCTCGGGCGTTCAAACGCTAGGTAAAGTGACACATTTTAGGCGCACCGCGCAACCCTTCCCAGGGATTCGCTGCCTCGGGAGTTCAAACGCTAGGTAAAGTGACACATTTTAGGCGCACCGCGCAACCCTTCCCAGGGATTCGCTGCCTCGGGCGTTCAAACGCTAGGTAAAGTGACACATTTTAGGCGCACCGCGCAACCCTTCACAGGGATTGGAACTCTCGAGCGTTCAAACGCGAGGTAAAGTTACACATTTTAGGCGCGCGGGTGAACCCTTCACAGGGATTCGCCTCCTCGGGCGTTCAAACGCGAGGTAAAGTTACAATTTTTTCGGGCGCCGTGAACCCTTCACAGGGATTCGCCTCCTCGGGCGTTCAAACGCGAGGTAAAATTACACATTTTGCGGGCGCCGCGCAACCCTTCACAGGGTTTGGGCGCAGCTCAACTGCATTTTGCAACCCTTCACAGGGATTGGCATTTTTCAACCCTTCACAGGGATTGGCATGGTCGAATGCACGAGCGCTACGTAAAGTTGCATTTTTTGATGTGCATTGAAATGAATTTTGCAACCCTTCACAGGGATTGGCGTGGTCGAGTGTTCGAACGCGAGGTAAAGTTGCAATTTTTTATGTGCATTGAAATGAATTTTGCAACCCTTCACAGGGATTGGCGTGGTCGAGTGTTCGAACGCGAGGCAAAGTTGCAATTTTTGATGTGCATTGAGATGAATTTTGCAACCCTTCACAGGGATTGGCATGGTCGAATGCACGAACGCTAGGTGAAGTTGCATTTTTTGATGTGCATTGAAATGAATTTTGCAACCCTTCACAGGGATTGGCGTGGTCGAGTGTTCGAACGCGAGGTAAAGTTGCAATTTTTTGATGTGCATTGAGATGAATTTTGCAACCCTTCACAGGGATTGGCGTGGTCGAGTGTTCGAACGCGAGGCAAAGTTGCAATTTTTGATGTGCATTGAAATGAATTTTGCAACCCTTCACAGGGATTGGCGTGGTCGAGTGTTCGAACGCGAGGTAAAGTTGCAATTTCTGATGTGCATTGAAATGAATTTTGCAACCCTTCACACGGATTGGCGTTGTCGAGTGCTCGAACGCGAGGTGAAGTTACACATTTTGCGGTGCTCGCGGAACCCTTCACAGGGATTGGCTTGAGAGGGATTTGCTTCTTCGATTGTTCTAATCGGTAGGTGTGCAACAGGTCAATTGGCAACCTTTCAGAGGGATTGGCAGGATGGCAAACTCTATGACTTTATGATTCATGACTCATGGACTCTATGACTCTTGACTCTGTGACTTTACGATCCTATACAGTGACTCTATCTCACTACGACTCTATGACGCTATCTCACTGCAACTCTATGACTTTATGACTCATGACTCATGGACTCTATGACTCTTGACTCTGTGACTTTACGATCCTATACAGTGACTCTATCTCACTACGACTCTATGACGCTATCTCACTGCAACTCTATGACTTTATGACTCATGACTCATGGACTCTATGACTCTTGACTCTGTGACTTTACGATCCTATACACTGGCTCTATCACATAGCCCCACAATCTTCGCTGATGATGCTTTCGGGCCAATTGTCTTCTAGTTAGTATGATGGGCCCCAAAACCCTATTAAAATGTTGTAATAAAGCCCCTACATTAGGTTTCGGGTTCAGTCGTTGGGTGTTGATTTAGGGTTTTTCGGGCTTTAGGACGTTCAGGGCTTAAGAATTTAGGCTTTAGGGCTTTAGGGGTGTTGGGGTTTTGGGTTTTAGGGCCTAGGGGGTCCGGGGGTTTAATGGTGAATTATTCAGGGCTCATGGTTATAAAGGCTCCATAACAGAACGACTATCACGGAACACTCCAAAACTATCATCGACTGCGAAACCCGTTCACCGCTACGGAAGATGACGAAGTACCGCCGAAATTGTGGTCGGATGCATGTCACGAGTTGAGATTTCCTCGCAAAAATGGACACTTCCGGGCCTGCGTGAAGTCGTGTGGTTGCAGGCGATGAGAGCACGTGACAGTAATATAGCGGCCTCAGGTATGAGAATAGGGTTTGAGGCTATATTCTACTGTAATTTTATTATGTGTAGAGTGTATAGTGTATAGTACTGTAGTCATCTAGTTCCTACTACTTGGTTTTAACAAGGGAACCCAAAAAGAAAAAGGGCAAAAGGGTACCAAGCAGGAGCCTAGTTATTTAGGACCCTATAGTAGGTTTGCCCAGTCATCCACCAGGGCCTCGTCAGAGCAGCAAGGTGTCGAGGAGGCTCTTCTGAGAACTGTGCTGGCTGGTACCCCGGAGGCTCCATGTACTTCTGGGTATATACTTCTAGGCTCTACATGCAGTACCCAAATCGCAAGTTACCAACTACATTCTTACCATGGAGCCTTAAACCCAAAACCTATATAACCCTGAGGAGGATCCTCAAAGGAAGCGTTTGAAGAATGCGCGAAATTGGCCAGCGCCGGGGCAGTGAGCACCTGCGAAAGCCGGCCTGGTGCTTGCGCATCCTGACCATGACAGATACTTAAAGGATCATGGGACTTAGTAACTAGGGCTCCTTTAACGGGATCCTTTAAAGGGGTCTAACGGGGTTCTAGAAGGGGGATTTTAGGGGCTACTTAACGGATCATGGGATTTAGTAACTAGGGTTATTTACTAAGGTAACTATACTTATAGCTACTTATAACCCCAATTAAGGTACTTATAACCATACTTACTAAGTCCCATGGTCCTCCAAGTAGTCGGCGACGGAGGAACATCCCAGCACGTACGACGGACACGCTCTTCACAAAGAGAACATCTGAACTCTTTGGCAATCTTCAGGACATGATGCGGAACACCCCCAGAGCCTCCCAAACCCCTTAATCTAGGAACAAAAAGCCTTTGAGTATAATAGGAACCTGAATTAGATTTAATGTATGTTCCTTATTTAAGGGGTTTTGGAGGCTCTGAGCCACTGTTCAGTCCAGGATCCGGGATTGCCAACGAAAGCCGCTGCACTCTCGGAGGAGCCCATGGCGGTTTGGTCGACGATCTTGACTTGCTGGCTTTCGCCTCGAGTTCCTGATGAGACCTGCTTGCATAAGTGGCTTGGAGGCAATCTTGCCCAGAGTTCCTATTCTAATTGAAGGTATATTCTGTAATTAAGGGGTTTGGAGGCTCTGGGTGGGCGACCTGCAGCAAATTATTGCACGCGCTCGGCAGGAATCCCTTGCAGATTGGCAGTTTCCGCTGCAGTAGACTCTAAGCTCACTCTATGTCCTTCACCCTACTTCCAAAGCTCTAAACTCGAAGCCACAAGCCCTACAAGCCAAAAGCTCTAAACATGTCGCGAAAGCCAATAAAGACACAATATAACACTTCTTCCACACCTCGTAAAATAAAAACCTAAGAAAGCCTTTGAAAACTAAACCCTCTTCAAGCCCGAACCCACTGAAACAAGGAAACCCTCCACCCATGGAACCAGAAAGCCCTAAACCCATACTCATGACTCATAACCCATTGAAACCAGGAAGCCCTAAACCTATCACCCTACACCTATTGAAACCAAGAAATCCTTTGTTAACCCTAGAGCCAATGACCCATGGGATCCTGGGTAAGTCTGAAGGATACTATGTCCTTAAACTAGACCTTATGATAACCCTTATATCAGACTAGTTTGGGGTCACAGCCCCAGGGCTTCTAGTTCCTTAATCCTTAAGGTAGCCCTTATATCAGACTATTTTGGTGTTAGAGCCCACAGGGTTTCTAATCAGGTTCCTACATGAAGAAGTCTGAAGGAAGTGGGACCAAGTGGCGGCTTGCAGCACCCTTCCCTCCGTGCTGACCTCAAGGCTGTCGTCCTGCTGGAGGCGTTACCCATAGGCTCCATAGTAGTTCCTTCTTGGGGCTCATAATGTTTAGAATCTTCATAAGGTAAACCCCAAAAGGAACTACTATGGAGCCTATGGGCAGCTTCTTGCTTTTTTGTTAAGAGGGTTTGTACAAAGGCTCTTTCAGCACGTTTTACTGACGGATCTGCACTGACTCTGTAGTGTACGATCGTCAATTTAGGATTTCGGATTTGAAGGTTTGCTTTGATGTTGAGTACAGCAGTGACAGGTATACAACTGGAAGTGGCCAAGCCGTCCAAAACTGACGTAATAGAGGGGCCTTAGAATCTGGTTTTGGAGATTAGTATACTATCATTCAGAATCATTCAATGAGGCAGATATTTAAGCCCCTATACTACTCCGTTCAGAGCAGGGCTCGGCAAGGATATCCGGGACTCCTTCTTGGCCTTACGCTTCTGCGATGGTGCGCACACTCAGTTCGATGAGCTAACAGCCAACAGGCAAACGTCAAGGGGCCTAATCCATGACAGGCAGTGCCATATTCCTCAATTGAGGAACCCAGCGTAAATCATGTTGCGTATCCCTCTGCAGTTGGCCCTCACTGCTTCGCTCCTCGAGTAGCGTCACCAGGACATCCACCGGCAGCTTGCAAACTAGACCTTATGATTTGCGGAGTCGGGTGTGAAATATCCAGAGGCCCCATAGTAGTTCGATTACCTTATTTCAAGACAAAGGGCAAGAGGGTACTTCGGTTGATGATATAAATCCTGCGTTACCTTAACGACCCTGAACTATGGGAATTACGGTATATTCCTCATTATGGGTTATGCACGATTTATATCATCAACCCCTAGACCCTAAACCCTTCTGACGGCTTTGGAGTGTACAGGCTTGGGCGAGGGAGTCGAAGGGCTTGTGGCTTCCATGCGCCGACACTACTGTACTAGACTTGTATTAATGAGACTAGGGTTCCTAGGGTTCCTTTAAAGGGGGTCTGTACGGGTTACTATAAGGGTTATTATAAGGGATCTATAAGGGTACTACTGTAGCGGACTTAATAATTAGAATAGGGTTTTGGGGGGTTGTTTGTTATGGTTTGAGTCCTTGTCTGCATCTTGTTGTGTTCGCCTGCAACTCGGGATCCCTTGCACGGCCCTTGGGGGGGTTCAATGATTACCTCCACTCTTTTGGGGGGTTCCTATTGTGGTCATATGGGCCCAAAAACCTATTCTTTTTGTTCAGGCCCCTATATGGCTTTATCCAGGCTTAGCTTTTGTTTCGCCTGCCTGCACACGACGTAGCTTAGAATGTTCCCTTGTGCCCTCCGTCGTTCTCGGCCTAGCTCCCACTTTGCAATTCTGTCCTAAAGAACGGAAGTTTCCGAAAATAGGGGACCCTAGTATAGTACCTTCAATATTAGGATCCTTGTCATAAGGACCCCCGAATTAGGCACCCCCAATTTCGGAAACTCCCGAATTTCTTCAAGGGGTTGACCTGCGGTAAACAACGTGTGAGTGCCGGATTGGAGTTTATCAGCCCTCTGCAGTTTTAGGGTTTCGGGTTTAAGGCTCCCGTAAAATCTGGGGCTTTAGGGTTTTAGGGTTTAGGGTTTTAGGATTTAGGGTTTAGGGTTTAGGGTTTTAGGGTTTAGGGTTTTAGGGTTTTAGGGTTTCAGGGTTTAGGATTTCGGGTTTAAGGCTTACCCTAAGGCTCCTAAGAGGGTTATGGGCTTTCTGGGGGAGGGTCTGGGCTTTGGCGGCTAAGGTTTGGGATCTCACCACCAGGGTCCAGGAGCCTTTAGGGTAGGACATCAAAGCTCAAGTAGCATGCAGGGTTTAGGGTTTAGGGTTTAGGGTTTAGGGTTTAGGGTTTAGGGTTTAGGGTTTAGGGCATGTTGGTTGTCTGCATTCGGTCACTGTACTGGTCGCTGTTATCAACTAGCACCTTGCTGAGCACCAGGATTACCAAGATCCCCCAATGGCTCAGCCCTTATGACTCTTGATGGAGGGTGGTTGGAGTATGTTAGGGGGTTGCTGGGGGCTCTAGGTACAAAGCTGGCTATTGATTGATGGGCTTCTTAAACTTACCGTACATCGTTTGGGGTCCGTCTACATGAGGATCCTACTACCGTAGGGTCTTTCTCGAGGTTCCTTCTTACTGTCTCCTCGCATGTATCTACACCGAGGCATAGCACAATGGTTCTCTCGCCAGACGCCAGAAACGGAACAACATTGGGTTCGATAATGCCCTACTGTAATGGCATTTATCTGATCACCGCGAATTCAATTAAATCTCAAGCCGATCTGACTTGCTTGCTCAGGCACCCAGGGAAGCTGGGACATCACACAGGACACCGAAGCCGCCGCGCACTACCTCTTTAGTGTTTAGGGTTTACTTGAAGGACCATGGGACTTAGGAATTACGATTAGGTACCTATACTTATAAGTATAACCACAATTAAGGTACTCATAACCATAATTACGAAGTCCCATGATCCTCCAAGAAAGGTTGAGGGTTTCGCTTCGTAGCGCATGAGCGTGGTGGTGGTTGCATATGCATCTGCTGGAGGTGCAGCGCCCTTGTAACGTGTAGCAGGTTCCTCAAGCAGACTGCCTTTGCTGTCTTCTTCCCCTCGAGCAGAATCGTTGTGCAGGGATACTTGCACTCCGAACCGCTTGCAAAGACGACACGGCCTGCACATAACAGCTAATCAAATGGCCAGCCATCGGACGCCAACTATATGCCCTCACTGGCTGCAGCCCTGCCCGCTTGCAACTCAGCAGGGTCCAGAATGGACGCTGCCATGCCGGCCCCACGCATCGAGGGGTTTGTTTTGAGTAGTTTACATGAACTCCAACGTGTGCCCAACCCTTCTCCAGCACCACTCCGCCCCACTCAGCCCTACTTTGTTCCACCGCGCTTGCCTCCCTAGACCTGGCTGGTTTGGGCTAGTCTTAGCTGTAGAGTTTAATGCTACTATTAAGGTCATATTATCAACTGTTACGGAGTGGGGGCAGTACCCAACCAATGTGCCGGCATGCAGGTCCATGTTGCATGCAAGGACCTGAAATCGATAGCATGCAAACGGTCGCACTTGCAAGCCTCCTGGCTTCCTGAACTTGGAGCCTCCCTTATTGGAGACTTTCTCAAAAGCTCTTTTTGTGAGATTTCCAATGAGGGAATAGACCAAGAATCTTCGTAGGGCTCCATTTTAATTTCAAGCATCTTCCTTAATTAAAGGGTTTTGGAGGCTCCGGTCCTGAGACCGGGCTTTAAGGCAAAAAGCCCAGAAGCGATTATAATCCCAACTACTCGGCTGCATTGGCGACTCAAAGCAAGCCTATTCCACTCAGCAAGCCTAAACATTCACAATAACCCCTAAACCCTAGAGCCGTTAGACCCCCACTTGAAGCTCACCTAACACTAGGACTACTTAGAGGATCATGGGACTTAGTAACTAGGGTTATTATGGGGGTAACTATACTTACGATTACATAATAACCCCAATTATATAAGGTAGTTATAACCATACTTACTACGTCCCATGATCCTCAGAGTAGAGTGCTTTGAGTCGATAAACCCTGTACGGTTTGGAGCTTAGAGTTTAGGGTTTAGAGACCCAGAGGGTCCTAGGTACCTATATAGTCGAATGTAGGGTTTCTACAGTAGGAAGAACTATTATGATTTGAGAAGATCTTCCCCATAACAGTGCCTTGCAACCTTTGCATTCCATATCAGGGAGCAGGACTTCTGACACGTTTCCGACACGTGCGGCAACCCAAAATAGCAGACCCCTTCTCGCCCTCAACTCAACACATGAAACCCAAACCCCAAAACCTAAACCCTTTTCGCCCTCAACTCAAAACATGAAATCTTGAACCATGAACCCTCATCTTCAAAACCCTGAATGCTCCGCCCGCCAACCCTCAACAACCCTCAACCCAACCTTAAACTCTAAACCCCTAAATCCGCATGTAAATACCCGGAACCCTTACAGGACCCACAGTCAACAGAATCCTAAAACTACTTGCCGGGTATCATGGGGAACTAACAGTTAACCTGTTGGTTATATAAGGGTTAGATAGGGACTGACTATAGTACCCAAAAAAGGTTAAAGGTTACCTACTCTACTACTAGGTAAACCTGGTCCTTGGAAGAACCCTTCAAAGAAAACCCCAAACCCTTCTGAGACCCGTAAAGGAACCCCCAAAGAAGACCACAAAACCCTTCTGGGACTCTGAAAAGAGCCCGGAAAAGACTTCCAAAACCCTGCTAGGACCCATATGGGTGGTTGTCAAAATTATGGCCCTTTTGGGGTACCCTTAGATACATTGAAAATACTGTATAAGAACCCACTGTTTAAGAACCCTAGGGTATCCTAGTTTTTTGGGTCAGGTTCTTAATTTTTTGGTTCTTTCCCTCACCAAGGAAATTTAGAATCGAAAACTAAATTTCCCAACCCTCCACATCAAGAAACCCTCTGCCCGAACATAAAAAACGTATAATGACTTGATGGCGACAGGAATGCCACAGCGCAGTGGTGGTGCATAGGTTCTGGAGACACGAGGCTGCTTTCAACCCCGCTGGTGTCACACTCCGAAAGTCTAGAATTGAAAACTAAATTTTCCAAACTTCCAGCATCCTGCCTGTGCTCCCCTTAGTCCAAGGTATCAGGAAATTTAGAATTGAAAAATTAATTTTCCACACCAGCCTCCTCCTGGCCCTGTGCCTGGCCCAAGGCTCCGATCCACACCCACGGCACCAGGAAATCTAGAATCCAAAAATAAATTTCCAGCCCTTCCTCCCGACCTCCAAAAACCCCTCGCCCCCAAGGTAAGGACACTGACCAGCTCCACGACAGCACTCCATAGCGCAGTGGTTCCGCGCGCGCACCTACGCGCGAAAGCCTTTGTTTCAATCCCCTGGTGGGATGCGCGCCCGCACCGTGTATTCCACCGAGACGGAGCCCTTTGCCACCAAACCGTGGAAATTTAGAATTGAAAAATAAATTTTCCACACCAGCCTCCTCCTGGCCCTGTGGTCCTTGGCCCAAGCCACACCCCCGGCACCAGGAAATTTAGAATCCCAAAATAAATTTTCTGGAGGCTCTCACCCGCTCTCACCCTCTCCCTTCCCTTTTCTGAGGCCTCTGGCCATGCCGCCCCCCCACAAGGAAATTTAGAATCCGAAAGTAAATTTCCTGAGAGCCCTCAGCCAAGGTATCAATCGCGGATAAGAACGTGGTTAAGAACCTGAGCCTACCCTAGCTGCTCGACCGGCAAAATCACATGTAATGGGAATTAGGAACCTTAGGGTAGGCTACTCTCGCCGAACGGGGTTCTTATACAGGGTTTTCATTGCAATAAGCGCCGTACTATTTTAGGGACCCAAAAAAGGACCATAATCTTGACAACCACCCAACAGGGGCACCCTTCACTGAACGAATCCTAAACTTCATCACCCGAGCCTCCAAACACCGGCTCTTGGCGGCTCGGAAGTCCTGCGGTAGGGGTTTAAGGGTTTAGGGGTTTAGGGTTGAGGGTTTAGGGGTTTAGGGGTTTAGGGTTTAGGGGTTTAGGGGTTTAGGGTTTAGTTTCGGCTTTGAGCTGCTGCAAACAAGGCTTAGGACTTAGGATTTCAGGGTTTGGTAGGGTTTAGGGTTTAGAGTTTGTTTGGGTGGAGGATTTAAACTTACATAGGGTGTAGGGTTTCGGTCCAATTAGGGAGAGGGGTTGGGTCTTAATGTTTAAGACCAATTAGGGTTTAGGGATAAGGCTTACTGAGGGTTTAGGATTGATTGGGGCTTGGGGTTCAGGGTTTGGTGGAAATGACAGTTTAGGATCGGTAAGGGTGTAGTGCTCAGGATCAGTTGGGTTGAGGGTTTCGCGTTTAGGGTTATTGGTGAGGGTTTATGGGGGGGGGGGTGTGCATGTCTTTTCTTTTAGGAGCTTGTAACTCGCGTTACCCAAATTAGTCAAGATATGATATAGCACATCCCTCTTGTCTCGTGGCAACTTCAACGTGCGTTTCACACGTAGAGTGTGCGCTCAGGGTTTGTGTAAATTAAGGGGACGGAATAAACAGAAATAACTTCTCAGAAAGCACCTACTCTATTGGTAATATTCTATAGCCACAAACCCTTCGCTAACCATTAAGCTCCCCGTTGCAGTCTCCTCTAAGGGCTCAGTCCTTTTCCACTAGTGAATACACTGTGAATCCTGACGAGGACCTGAGGAGACATGCCCTAAACCCTCAACCCTCATCGTCCCACAAGTTCCCCCTGTAGCATCCCTCAGCTTGGAACACTAGAGGACCCCGTAAAGGAGCCCTTAGAGGAACTCTTTGAGGAATCCTTCAGGGAATCATTGAAGGAATCCTTGAGGGTTTTTCAAGGAACTATCTAGGGTTCCCTTTAAAGGGATCCTTGAAGGGCTCTATAAGGGATCTACAATACGGTTCTATATTAGGGGCCTAAAGGCCGTTAAAGGGTACCCTTAAAGGTTCTCCGGGTGCTGCAAAGTGGTTATTGTAGGCGTCGGTTTTTCAGTGCGTCGAGGATCGGAATTCCAAATCAGTCTAGGCTATACTGGGGACTTAGTAAGTGGGGTTATAAGTAGGGTTATGAGTACCCTCAATGGGGTTACTCCAATTATAACCCTACGTCGCCACTTCGGGTTTAGGGCTGAGGTTTCCTTTCTTTTTGTAAGTTCCCTCCCAGGGTCGGTAGGAATTCTTAGGACTGTGATGGGATTGGAGGTGCATTGCGCTGTATCTAATGCAGCGGCCATAAGTTTACAAGGGAATATTATTGCTGCTTGAACCGAGCCCTATAGTAGACTTAAAACTACTTGGCAGTGTTGGGGTGTCCCATAACCTTCTTGTGGGCAAGCCAATCAGCCAGAGATACCCCACCCAAACCCAAAGGGTCCTAGGTACCTCTTTAGTCGAATGTAGGGTTTCTACATTAGGAATTACTATTATGATTTGGGAAGATATTCCCCATAACAGTACCTTGCACCCTTTGGGAAAAGTCTCGATTTCGGTGGCTTTGCGTTTCCTGGGAGTGTCGTTGTTCAGGGCTTGTTACCTCGGGGTTTGCGTCGCGTGGCCAACCTGTCGAAACACGGAAAACAGGGGCCTTAAAAATTAGAAAAGGGTTCCTAGGGTTCCTTGAAATTGGGTCTATACAAGTTACTTTGAAGGTTACTATAAGGGATCTATAAGGGTACTATCGTATCGGGGCCGTAATAATTGGAATAGGGTTTTGGGGCTCATCATAATATACTTATAATAATACGGAACCCCAAAAATATTATAGGCAAATATTAAGGCCCCTAATATTGCACCTTCGGCGCGAAACCTGCAAAGCCAGTCGAACTGCGACTCTCTCAGCCAAGAACTATCAAGAGCCATGGCTTGGGGCTCTCTCAGACCTGTCCCATGCCCAGGGCGGAAAGAAGCCATCGCGGCCCCCTGACGAAGTCCTCCACGATGTCGCAGATGCCGACGCAGAATGCCCTGCTGCTTTCCACCAAGGTGTGGCGCAGGAGTTGCACAACGTCGCCCACCGACTGGCTTAGGGTGACGTCAGCGGAAAAGCAAACCTCAACAACAGGATCAACGACAGGCATCTTTTAAAATTGCAAAGGAGTGTATATGATGATGCAAGAATCGTTTTGCTCACGGCCTTATAACCCAACTCAACCCAACAGTGTCTTCGTCATCATCAAACCCTACACAGAGGCCCCACAGTAGTTCCTTTTTGGGACCACCTTATAGGATTCTACATACGAAGCCCCAAAAGGAACTACGTTGGGGCCTTTGGGTATAAGCCCTAAATCCCTGAGAAGCTGCTAGAAGCCCTTCGTCCTCGGAGCTCCCACATAGCTGCGAGAGGTAAAGCAGAGAAGCAGCCGTGCCTTAGTGCAGGCGGACATTCGGATTAAGGGTTAAGGGGTTTAGGGTTGAGAGTTTCGGGGTTTAGGGGTCTAGGGGTTTAAGGGTTTAGGGGTTTAGGGTTGAGGGTTTAGGGGTTTAGGGGTTTAGGGTTTAGGGTTTAGGGGTTTAGGGTTTAGTTTCGGCTTTGAGCTTGTAGGGTTCGGAGTTGTGGCATTAAGGATCGGGGAAGTTTGGGGGAAATCTTGGTATTCAGGGTTTCTATTGATGCCTTTGAACATCGTGCCTTGTACAAGGCCCTATATGAGGAGTAAGGGTTTAGGGTTTAACGGTTTAAAATAGGGTTTGGGGAGCTCCCCCAGAGGAATTTCCAGATCTGATGTAAAGAATGGGTCTTTAACAGACGGAGGAACGAAGAGTCAGAAAGACATGAAGTAAACAGTAGGGACTTTGGGGTTAGGAGACCCCTGATGAACAAACCCCCTCCCCTTTGGGATTATAGAGGGATCCCAATGGCTCTTACAAACAGTAAGAGGTTTACATTTGCCTCTTATTTATGAGGCTCGAAGCCATGATTCCGATTTGGGCTCGAAGCCGCCCGGTGGTTCGCAACTATCTGCAGCTCTTACCACGAACTCAGCCTAAACCTCAAACCCTAAACCGAAAGCCTAAATGCTTAACCCCAAGCCGAAAGCCTGCGCCCTAAAGCAAAAGCCCGAACTCCACACCCTAAACCCCAAACCGAACGCCTACATTTCTTTGCACGACAAAACCTGGCTCTTTCCATGCATTTCTTGGCCAAGCGGCTGGGACTGAGATTGGCATCCAGTCGGCTGTATGCGGCCTCCCAGGAGCAGGGTTTAGAGCGTTGGGCTTAAGATTTTTTCTGAAGGCCTCTATACCGGGCTCAGGAGTCTAGGGTTAAAGTTTAGGGCTTTCCGTGGCTTCAATTTACTTAGAAGGTCTGTCTAGTACGTCGGGAACCAGAGAGACGATCCAAGTCGCAACACAACTCCTCTTTCACTATCAGAGCAATCAGCAGAAGCCTCGGACACCAATACTGCTTCGTCACGTTAGGGCTTATAGGGTTTAGGGTTTACCTTAACCCGGAATGACCTACCTTTCCAAGGACATATAGAAGGAATCCACAATAAGGAACCCTTGAAAGGTAGGTTATTCAGGGTTAAGGTAAGCTCCGTGAGGCTCACGTCAAGGCTTCTTTGTGCGAACCTGGCTTTTCGACCTTAGGGGCTTCAGAATCTTCAGGGTTGCGGCTTCAGGTGTAATGTAGGACGCGGTGGGGAGGTGAAAGGCTTCGGGAATTTAAAGAGCGAAGGGTTTAGTGAATGCTTCAGGGGCTCCGGCTCTGCTTCTGCTTCAAACACATCATCAATGTTCGAAGCAGCAGTTACTTGGAGGATCATGGGTGGTTATAAGTATGGTTATAAGCAGGGTAACTATACTTATAACCCATATTAGGGGACTTATAACCCCACCTATAACTTCCCAAGAACCTCCAAGTAGGATGGATCCAAACGCTAAAGCTCTAAGCCCTCAGCCGAAACAAGCCTACAGGACCCCAGTCCCAAGACTTCCAAACCACCTCAACTTGTAGCACTCTTAAGTACATCAACACAGAGCACCTGAACCCAAAAAGGGCCTGCTTTTGTTGACTTGTATAAGGATGTCATAACAAGGAGCCGTCGAAAGGTACATCAAATCACTCCACATATGCTGTCACGAGTAGCACTGCTGTGACTATACGTACTTTGGGAACTGTTTTGTGTCCTATGTTTCCCTCACGGCTACCAACTACCTCACTAGACTACCCGAAACGCTAAAAAATGCTGTTCCTGCTATCGAAAGACCACAAATCCTGAACTCAAATAGGTACACTACTGTAGACCACCCTAACCCCGACAGTATAATACTACCCCCACCGAAGGTCCCCAAAGTAGTAACCCCAATTTAAGGAAATCCCCATATGGGTGGTTGTCAAAAGTATGGCCCCTTTTTGGGTCCCTAATATCATACGGCACCGTAAAATTAGGGTACCCGAAACGGGGTTGTAATGTTGACAACCACCCATATGCCCAGCGCCCGCCTCGGCCAGCAGCCGTGCCTCCAAAAGCAGAGCCAGCGCGTAGAGCCCCGGCAGCTGCCCTGGAGACACCTGAATGGAAAGGGTTTAGGACTTAGGGATCTATAGGGTTCCTTAAAGGGATCTGTGGGGTTCAGGGTCTACTTGGAAGGGCAGGAGACTTAGTAAGTAGGGTTATAAGTAGGGTTATAATTGGGGAAACTTCATTTAGGGTACTCTTAACTCTACTTATAACCTACTTACTACGTCCCCTGCCCCTCCGAGTAGTGTTTACGATTGAAGGTTTAAGGCTTAGGGTTGAGGGTTTAGGGTATATAGGGTCAGGGTTTAAGGGTTTAGGGTTCTAGTACGGGTGCTTAATCCTGGGATCCTGATATACCTACTATAGACCCTTTAAGAGGTAAAAGCAAGAAAGTTGGAATATGATTATCCTAACCCTTCTATGGTAAGTTATATAGGGTATCCTACCCTCAAACCATATTCCAACTTTCTGGAGTTCCCTTTAAGGGTCTAACCTTGGAGTGCAGCTGTGCTTCGGGGAGCTCAAAGTTGTTGGGTTCAGGCTTTTGGGGTTTTGTAAGGATTCTGGGGTTTGGGGTTTTAGGGTTTAGGGCCTAGGGATCTATAGGGTTCCTTACAGGGATCTATAAGGTTCCTTAAAGGGATCTATGGGGTTTTAGGGTTTGGATGTTCAGGGTTCTAGGATTGATACAGGGTTAAAAGCTTAGGGCAGCGCGGTTTATAAGTGTCAGGGCGTACAAACACCCGACACGCGTTGAACTCTAACATTCTAGGGTCAAGCAAAGGCCTATGACCATCTTCGTCAAATGTTCCACCCGAAAGCCTGGCCCACGAGGGACAGGGTCTAGGGTTTAGGGTTTAGGGGGCCCAGACCCCTACGGTTGATGATATAAATCCTGCATTACCCATTATAAGGAATATGCCATAATTCCCATAGTTTAGGGTCCTTAGGGTAATGCAGGATTTTGTCCATCAACAGTATCACTATCAAAAACCATGAAGCAGCTCCTTAATAAGCCCTAAACCCTAAAACGGTAAACCTGGAAAGCTTAAACCATAAACCCTAGGACCTAAATCCCTAAACGCACCGAAAGAAGGTTACAACGCGGACACCCCAAATAGTATAGGTAATCATTAGTATTAATCCCTAAAGGCCCCCTCAGAGAAGGTTAGAATAAGGAAACCCTGCAAATGAAACAGGTGATTATTAGAACCCGCATATATTAGTCCCTAAAGGCCCATCAGAGAAGGTTGTAATAAGGAAGCCTTAAAGGTCTGTTTAAGGAAGCCTTATAGATCCCTTAAAGCAAGCCTCAAAACCACTAAACCCTTAACTAACCAGTGGTTTTGGGGTTCCCTTGGCTCTTTAGCTCCTTATTTAATAGGGATTATCATCATCCCTGGCTCCTTAGCTCCTCCAATATCAACGGCTAGTTAATCCTTAAAGGGAACTCCAGAAAGCTGGAAAAAGGAATAATGGCAGGATCCCCTATAATTTACCTGAAACGAATTATGATAATGATATTCCCCAACTTTCCGCTTCTACTGTAAAGGCTTTGAAAGAAGGGTCGAGGTCGGGCCTGGTTCTCCAGAGCCTCCCAGCGCTGTGCAGCGTAGGCGAAGCGAAGAATCTCAAGGGAGAAGCAAAATTCGAAGGCTTAGGGTTTTGGGTTTTGGGGTTTAGGGTTTGGGGTTTAGGGCCTAAGGTTTTGGGGTTTAGGGTTCAGGGTTTACAGGCTATGGGGCCTATCTTTGCCGATGGTTTAAGGTGGGCAGGTTGCAGGGTCGCTTTAGCTTAACATTCAACGTGTTTGGGGTTCAGGGTTTAGACATTTGTTAGGGCTTTTTTAGTTTAGGGTTTAGGTCTAGCTAGAAGCCCTTTGCCGGCAACTTTCCGTGTGCCTGGGAAGGTGGGCTGGGGGCGGGGGAGCAAAGGTAGCTTTCGATAAGCTGCGTACAGTACAGGTTTATGTGGTCTTCTGGCCAAAATGCCCATAATGATTTCCCAGCATCGAAACGCTTCATTCGAAATAGAAGCTTGCAGCCCACCGCCCGCTGATGAAAGCACTTGTCAGGGATATTCGCTTCGCGAGCACTTTTAACATGGAAACCTGCCCATAAAAGCAAACGAGCTTAAGCCTTATTCATCAGACCTAAATGCTACGCTGAGCCGGAGACCGATCAATCCTATACGGTTTAGGGTTTCTTGTTTAGGGCTTACCTTAACCCCACATAACCTACCTTTTTAAGGACTTATATAAAGAAATCATATTAGGGAACCCTAAAAAGGTAGGTTCCTTAGGGTCCAGGTAGGGTTTAAACCTAAATCAACCCTCAACCTGAAACTTTCCCACGTCCAGGGCTTCACAGTAACCCTGGACCCTCAACATTCAACTAACGGTTCATGATTCCTAGGATACCCAGCAACCTAGGAATAAAAAGGCCTCTCTTTTTGGTATTGGGTAACTTTATAAGGAACCTAGGACTACAAAAAGGGAATAAGGGTACTACTGGGCATCCTAGATTCTGTTTAACGTTCCATGGAGGGTACAAAAAGTCTGGCTCTCTGGGGCGTAGGGGTAGAGTTGCTTACCTTAGTTGGGGCTATAAAGAATTAGTTAGCCGAAAAATCACCGCAGTTACTAAGTCCCATGAACCGTTAAGTAAGGTTCGAAGCCGAGGTTTCGGTCTTACATTTCACTGTTCGTAGGATAAGGGTAGACGAATGGTGCATCGATAGATAGAGGTATCTATGAATGCATGCACATATGTGCGCATTTATGTATCTATATCTAGGTGTCTCTGCGTGTCTGTGTACAGAGGTGTGTTACATGCGCACGTGTGTTTCTGACTGTCCTGTCTGAATCCAGCCGAAGTGCCAGCTGGAAGAGTGCCGGAATGGGCATCTGCCGGCGAAGCTCAGCATCGTCCGGTAGCCTCGTGGTTTGAGGGTGTAAACGGCACATTAGATCGAGTATCTCAGACACAAGTCATCGGGATTAGGGTGGTTTAGGGTTATTGACTTGGAGGTTCATGGAAGTGGGGTTATAAGCCCCCTAACAAGGGTTATAAGTATAGTTAATTACCCTACTTATAACCCCACATATAACTACCCATGAACCTCCAAGTAGGGTTCGCGATTTCGGACGGAGATCCATCTTACTGCCGCGGTCGCTACCTGACCCCAACGCCAAACCCTAAACCCAGAGCCCACGCACCCTGAGGCAAAAGCTCGAACACTTGATCCCTGTTCCCTCTAGCAATCCACACCTCAACCATCCCCCAGCCCCCCGAAACCTGAAGCCCTCGATCCTCGATCACCAACCCTAATCCCTAAATCCTGGAGTCGAAGATACTGAAAGGATCTTGGGACTTAGTAACTAGGGGTTTTAAATACACCATGCCTATAATCACTTATAGCCGTACTTACTAAGTCCCATGATCCTCAAAGTAGTCTCTTTTGACACCAGCAAGCAAATCTTGACCATGTGATGTATAAGAACATCTGTGAATCCTATCACCAAGGATTGCCTCCAAACCTAAGATGGTGGAAAAGTCTGCACATTAACATGGTCTCTATAGATCCCCACCCCACACCCCAAAGCTTAACCAGACTCTCGACAGTCTTACTCCAAGGATAGTCTCTAAAGGCCCTTGTTTGCTGTAAGAGCCCTATATCCAACATAAAAGCGACATGTTTACTATCTCTTGGGGGTTTAGCAGTTCCTGAGGTATCCTGCAAAACCCGAAAACAAACCGAAATCCTAAACCCCAACCCTAAACCCAAAACGCGAAGCCACATAATCCTCATAAAACCCGCAGAAACACCTCTTCAAGGAATCCTATAAACAGGCCATCAAAACAAAAAACAAACATCCCTTAAAGGAGTCCTATAAACAGTCCATCAAAAAAACAAACATCCCTTAAAGGAGTCCTATAAACAGTCCATCAAAAAAACAAACATCCCTTAAAGGAGTCCTATAAACAGTCCATCAAAAAAAAACAAACATCACTCAAAGGAGTCCTATAAACAGTCCATCAAAAAAACAAACATCCCTTAAAGGAGTCCTATAAACAGTCCATCAAAAAAAAACAAACATCACTCAAAGGAGTCCTATAAACAGCCCAGTATAAAACAAAAAAAAAAACTGTTCAAGCCCAGAGGGCGTGGGTAGCTCCGAGGTGGTCGGCTGCTCCGAAGGTTCCAGGAAGCTCCGGAAAAAGAACCCGGAGCAGGAGCCTTTGCTCGCCGGCTCCCGTAAAATCTGGGGCTTTAGGGTTTTAGGGTTTTAGGGTTTAGGGTTTTAGGATTTAGGGTTTAGGGCTTTAGGGTTTAGGGTTTTAGGGTTTAGGGTTTTAGGGTTTATAGGGGTTTAGGGTTTAGGGTTTACCCTAAGGCTCCTGAGAGGGTTATGGGCTTTCTGGGGGAGGGTTTGGGCTTTGGGGGCTAAGGTTTGGGATCTCACCACCAGGGTCCAGGAGCCTTAGCGAAGGCTTAAAGGGATAAGGGCTCTTGAAGAGTACTTAAAGGATCATGGGACTTAGTAACTAGAGTTATTATTAAGGTAACTATACTTATAACTACTTATAACCCCACTTAGGGTACTTATAACCATACTTACTAAGGCCTATGATCCTCCAAGTAGCCTTTGATACTTTTGGGGATGAAGTCTTTAGGGGTTTAGCTCTGCCAACCGGTTCCCTTTAAGGGGATCTCCAAGGGTTCTAGAGTATGGTCCCGTTTAACGGTACTATGGGTTGTATCAAAAGGTTCAAAATAGGGGTGATATAGGGTTCTATAAATCGGGGATTCATAAAAAGGGTTCCATTATCGAGTACCTTAGGGTGCCGTAAGTAGAGGTTCCTTTCAAGAGTCCGATAAGCCAGGACCCCCCAACGGCGCTTTAATGGAGCCCTTGTGACCCTCAATAGTGGGCATTTGTGGAACATCGGAGGGTAGTTGGGGGGTCTACGCGGGTTCTTGAAGTTGAAGAGGAGCTGTTGCTAAGTTTTGGGGTGAAGTAGGTCTGGCGTCGATGAGCCTAGGGGTACGCAGGCCTTCCAAAGTCCCTCGATCAAGGAAGTACCTTAAAGAACAATAGGATCCCAAATTTGATTTAAGGTATATTCCTGAATTAAAGGACTTCGGAAGGTCTGGGTAGTTTTGAATTTAGGATCGAGGGTCGCGGCTTGATGCACGGTTTTGGGGGTTTTGGTTTTGGTAGAGCGCTGTGGCAGAGCGTTATAAACCCTGACCATCAAAATAGCCCTACATAGAGTGGTCTTTGGGCCCAAAAGCCTTAATATGTGAGTCCTTAGAGCCCTAGGGCCCTAGGGAAAGGGTTTCTGTAAGGTTTCTATAATACTAATTAAGTCGAAGGTTTCGCGTAGAAGGCAACACCTGCGGCGGCGATCGCCAGAGCTCTGAAAGGCTCCACTTGGAGGATCACGGGGCTTGGTGACTAGGGATAGGCTTAAGGTAGCTGTACTTATACCTACTTATAACTTATAACCACAACTACGGCCATATAAAGAAGCAAGTATACTTATATTTGCATGCAACATATAACCGAAGTTCGTATAGCCGTAATTACTAAGTCCCGTGATCCTCCAAGCACAGGACGTGCAAAGGCACCCGCAAGCCGTTGTTGCGGATACCCGAAGTGATGAGGGCTTCGGGATCGAGATATGCTAGCAGGTCCGCAGCCGGCATCTTCTTCTAAGATCGGAGAAAGCTGCAGAACTCATCGGTCCAATGCTGATGGACAAAATCCTGCATGACCCTAAGGACTATAGACTATGGGAACTATGGTATATTCCTTATAATCGGTAATGCAGGATTTTGTCCATCAGCAGTACCACTCGGAATAGTGGTACACGTTGATTTTCTGGATGGCGTCGAACTTGTGATGCAGCCACCCGTGGCAACACAAGGCGAGGCACTCCTGGACCTCAAGATATACAAGCAATACCTTAACCCCACGTAACCTACCTTTTTGAGGACTTATATAAAGAAATCGCATGAGGGAACCCTAAAAAGGTAGGTTCCTTAGGGTCCAGGTAGCAATAATAGTCGACAGTAATTGGTAAGTTAAGTGTTTCAGGGTCTCGGGTCGTCCTACGTCTCATCTTCTTTCTCCAAGCCCTTGCGCCAAGTCCTCCCTGGGGCTCCAAACACCCTATTCCACCGAGGGATCTAAAACTCAGGCACCGGAACCGGGGCGTGTTGGTGGACGAACACTTGAACACAGCGTTTTGGATCTAGGGGGGTAAATTAGCCCAAGGGCTCCAAGTACACAAATGGTACCTACTTTGGGGCTTGAATTCTATACGCAATGCCCACTTTACGCTATTTAGAAGCAGACTAAGACTGCAACCCTCTTGTAAACCCTTTCGGAACCTGTTTTTCACTTTCTCGCCAAGACTCAGAGAGCCAGGCGATGACATTTCACCTGCAGACAAAGCTACTTTGAGGGTTTTGGGGCTTGGGTTTACCAGAAGGCCCCAAAGTCGTTCCTTTTTGGGGCTCGTACATTGAATCCTATAAGGTAATCCCAAAAAGGAACTACTTTGGGGTGTATGGGTAGGGTCCAGGGGCTCCGGGTTTAGGGTTTGAGGGTTCCGGGGCTATGGGGTTACGGGCTATATACTAGGGGGCGTAGGGTTTGGGGCTTGTAGGGTTCAGGGGTCATGGGTTTAAGGGTTGCAGAGCTTCGGAATGGAAAGGCTTACTTGGAGGATCATGGGACTTAGTAAGTATGGTTATAACGGTTGATGGTATACATCCTGCATTACCCATAATAAGGAATATAGCATAATTCCCATAGTTTCGGGTCCTTAACGTGATGCAGGATTTATATCATCAACAGAAGTACCTTATTTGGGGTTACAAGTAATTATAAGTCTAGTTACCTTAATAATATCCCTAGTTGCTAAGTCCCATGATCCTTTAAGTAAGGACTTGTGGGTTTGACAGTGGCTTGGGATTCAGGGGTTTCGGGGTTTCGGTCTTTAGGCTCTAGTGGCTCAGGGGCTTTTGGAGGGTTTGGTCTGAGCTATTGGCCTTCTGGGGGGGTGATTGCATCAGAAATGTAAGTAACGGGATACCGCTGCTAATCAGACAGACGCGTGGGGCTTAGTGTTCATGGGTGTCTGGGTTCCGGATTTTAAGGTTTGTGGGGTTAGCCAGGTATGAAATTTACGGTTCGGGGGGGGGTGCATCCGTACACACAGACAGTCACCGTCCCAGCTACGTGTACTCCAAAAGATGCCGCTGCAATAGACCCTTAACCCTAGACCGCCCACCCGCAAATGCTAGACGAAATCTTAAGCCTTGATCGGCTTTGTACCCCAAGTCGTATAGTACTTCCCCCCAAACCCTAAACACCCTGAAGCTGCGAAGAATGAAGCTAACGCCCTAAATCGCCCGATACACCCGATTAGCCCCAGAATGCTTTCAGGAACCCTTAAACGAACCCTCACAAGAACCCCAAAACGTATAAACCCTGTCAGCTTCATCATCCTTGTAGAAACTTTTGTACGAGCCCTTAAAGGCAACCTGAACCCTAAACCCTGAATCCCTCAGCCCTTAAACCCTAAACGCCTCAACCCCTAAACCCCGACTGAACCAAAATGTCCTTGGCGGACCTCCTGGGCCTCCTCCCCTGGCAAAGCTGGCAGCCTCCATTTCAGCGGTTGTCAAAATTAGGGTCCCTTTTGGAGTACCCAAAATAATAGGTGCCGTATCATAATAAGGACCCAAAAAGGGACCCTATTATTGACAACTACCGATTTGCTGGCTGAGGCGAAGTACAGTAGACAGGGTTTAGGGCTGTTTAGGGTTAGGGTCTCAGGTTTATAGACATTTGTATAGGGTTTAGGGGTTTAGGGTTTGGGGTTTAGGCTATAGGGTTTTGGGTTTTGGGCTTAGGGTTTAGGGCTTAGGGCGCAGGGTTTAGGGTTTAGAGTTTAGGGGTTTAGGGGTTTAGGGCTTTAAGGGTTTAGGGTTTTGGGTCTAGGGTTTAGGGTTGAAGGTATAGAGTTTAGGGTTAAGGGTTTAAGGTATAGGATCTAGGGTTTAGGGTAGAGGGTTTAGACTGTTCTACAGTACCCTAAGGGTCCATGTACCCAAATAGTATATACTTTGGCCCCAAAGTACCTATATAGGGACTACCCAAGGTCCAAAGTACATACTATTTCGGTACGTGGAAACTTAATAAGGGGTTCTGCAAAACATGGTAGCCAAATAAGGAGGCAAGCAAACTTGGGCTTGGGGCTTGGGCTTGAGGGTCTACGTTTGGGCAGTCAAGGGATTCAAGGCTTCGGGGTGTAGGGCACAGGAACAAAATCCGACATGCTACAGGTTTAGGGTTTAGCTCAGGGTTAATGCCAGACGCGAAAGCCCAAATCTCTCCAAGGTTTAGGGTTTAGGGGTTTAGGGTTTGGTCTCTCCAGCTCTCCACTCCCCTCCTTAAACCCTAAACCCTAAACCCCTAAACCCTAAACCCCTAAAACCCTAAACCCCTACACCCTAAAGCCCTACACCCTACAGCCCTACACCCTAAAGCCCTACACCCTAAAGCCCTAAACCCTAAAGCCCTAAACCCTTAAACCATGGCTCCCAAAAATTGAAACGTTGAAGGCCAGAGCCCGACACCGCAAAGGCGAGGGCTTGGGCTGGGACATTTATGGATCAGGGTCTGGGATTTAGGGTTTAGGGTTTGGGGTTTTGGGTTTCGGGTTTAGGGATTGAGGGTTTGGAGGCTGAAGCCGAACACCTTAGCTTACACCCTCCAAGACTATAACCCTGATTACCTTCAACACCACATGCCACGACCCCTTGTGCCAACACCCCCAGCTGCGAGAGGGCCCTCGTAAACGACCCAACTCCCAAGACGATGACATCTTCCCTTTCATTTGGGTTCCAAACTCTCGACACTACAACCCTAAACCCCAAAATCCCAAAACTCGGGGTCCTTCTGTTGATCCCCAGTGCGCCTATGCAAAGAATCCGCAATCCGCCCTTAAATGAATCCTTGCAGGAACCCTGAACCCCAGACCCCAACAGGATTGGGCCCCACTCCCCTCGAACCCCTGGGCCGTAAAGCTTAGTCTTCATTAAACCTCTTAACACAACGGTCACTGCACAACCCCCACGCGCCAACTCACCAAATGACAATGCCGATACAACGCCTCTCAACCCTGTAGGCTGCAGGGTCTACAGTCTACAGACGATTCTGGGCGGTGGTCTCCGGGCTTCAAGGATTCGGCTTAAGGGTTGAGGGCTCGAGGATGGAGAATGGACCGTATGATGAAATGGGCTCCTTCAGTCGGATGTCCCTGTGAATCATTGAAACTTAGTAAGCATCTAAACAGACAGTACCGCACAAGAGCCCCCCAATCCGGGTCAGCTTGGAAGACCGCCACGACCAGTCCCTGATTGCTTTGGGGTCAAAGTCGCGGCTGTTAGGAGCTTTTTTTGCTTTTTTTGTTCCAACCATGTCGCGCTCGCGTGTGCTGTGCCAGTTCCAGGAGAAGGCACGACCAAGTGCCGCCGACAAGTGATAAGAAACTCGGCTCGGTCCACAAGATCAGTACGCCAATCCACCATGTGTGTGTTGAAGCCAAGATAGTGGTTGTACCAGTCCGGTGGCATCCAAGCGTTAACGCCTTAACGCACATCTGTTTCATGGGTGAACCGCTTATCTGGGCTCAGCATTTAGCGAATGTGGCTATGGTACTAAGGGAGGTCAGTCAGGGGTTGATGCTTGGATAGGATGTCGCCTTTTGCCCGCTCCATGTACAATCCATTGCAAGCTTAACCCGAAACCCCGCAACCCTAAACACTATAATCCTACAAAACCAAAGACCCTACCTAGACCCTCCAAGTACCCCCTAACAGACCCCAAATAACCTGTATTAAGGGCCAGAAGGACTCTGTTAAACGGCTTTGGGGGGTCCTGGTATAAACTCTAAAAGACTCAATGCCTCGGTATATCTCTTGATCTCTGGTGCCCTGCTGATGAAGCCCTGAAGGAACCCTAAACCCTGAACATAAACTCCAAACCGTTAGCACGTCTATGATTGTCCAAACTTAGACACCCCCCCCCCATCTACCTTCTGTTAGACCTGAAATACATTCTAGTAGATGCCTCTCACCTGCTAAATCTGCTGAATCCTACCTAAACCCCCAAAGTAGGTCAAATAATAGACCAAAACCTATAAAAAGGCCATTATTCTACATACTTTTGGGGTCCAGGTACACACCAAACTCTCAACCCGATAAAGGTCCTTTATGCCCTAAACCCTACTGGGAGGGGCTTTTGGGAGTTAGTAAGGGCTCCTTAAAGGGATCTATAGGGTTCCTTAAAGGGATCTATGGGGTTTAGGGTTTAGGGTCTACTTGGTGGGGCAGGGGACTTAGTAAGTAGGTTATAAGTAGGGATATAATTAGGATAGGTCCATTTAGTGTACTCATAACTCTACTTATAACCTACTTACTAAGTCCCCTGCCCCTCCAAGTACGAGCGCCTGATAGCACAGTCCGCAAGGTCATCGCGCCCGTAGAAGTATGAAAGGCTAAGGTCCTGAGACTCCGGGCTTAGGGTGTAACCTACCCCCCAAAAAAACTACCTCTTTGAAGATCTCTATAAAGAAACCATAATGAGGAGCCCTGCAGAGGTAGGTTCTTCGGGGTGCAGATAGGGTCACCGAAAATCATGGTCGATTCTGCTGAGGTGTCGGGGAATTTGCGGAAAAGGATCTTACTAATCTGGTGGACAAGGTTTAGGTGAGCTTTGTGGTTTCTGTCAAGGTGCAGGAGGGTGGGAGGTTTTTCACTTGCTGCCCCATTCAGGTGTCTTTACGACACATTTAAAATCTAAAACACTTAACTCTTACTTAACCCTAAACCCTGAACCATCTACTCTTACGATATCATTAAAATCTGAAACCCTAAACCCTTACCCAACCCTAAACCCTAAACCATCTGCTCTTGAATTGAGGGGTACAGGGCTTTTTGGGCCTCGGGTCTGTGGCATCGTAAAGCCTGGACGCTCCAGGTATCTGGGGCTTCTGCCACGTAGCTTAAATATACAGGGAACTCCAGAAAGTTGGAATATGGTTTCATGGTAGGATACCCTATAATTTACCATAGAAGGGTTAGGATAATCATATTCCAACTTTCTGGCTTCTACCTTAGGGGCCTTAAATTGTCAGAATAGGGTTTAGGGGCCCGTTGTACTGTAGTCATAACAAGGAACCCCCCAACATAGTATAGGTAATTGGTTAGGCCCCTATATTAACCCGAAACCCTTATGCCCTTTCGCCCCAAACCCTAAACCCTGGACCCTGAACCATCAACCCGGAATCCGAGACCCTATCCAAAACACTTGAGATTGGATCTTCAAGAACTTGTAGAGTTGTAGAATCAAAAGCAAAGGAGATCCTGAATGTACTCCGGAGAGTACGCATTACCCAGCCCAAACTCGGTATTATTTAGACCCCAAGGTAGGTGCTACTGTTGATGGACAACAGCCTGCATGACCCTGAGGACTCTAAACTATGGGAACTATGTTATATTCCTTATAGACTAGGTATTATTTACCCTAAGGCCCCAAAGTAGTTCCTTTTTGGGGTTCGTATATAGAATCCTATAAGGAAATCCCACAAAGGAACTACTTTGGGGCCTATGGGTAAACCCCAAAGTAGGTGCTATTTGTGCACATGGAGCCCAAGGGAATGGTCTGCTGTCAAAAAAGCTTGCCAGACCGTTGTCCGCCAGGACCCTCCTTGTACCCTCAAATAGGGGTATACGGTCCCCAGTACGGGGCATTTAGGGTCTACCTGAAGCCGGAATAACCTACCTTTGTAAGGTTCCTTATTATCATTTCCTTATATACGTCCTTAAAAAGGTAGGTTATTCCGGCTGAAGGTAATAGTGGGTAGATGGAGGGTCTAGGTGGGAGGAGTGACAGCAGCCCACCCAGGTTTATCTGCTCATGCATTTTTGCTTACAGTGCTTTATGCACCAGGTCGGAATAACATCCTCTTACAGTCCGTAGTCTGCCAGCTAGCAGTATAATGACAATATGTATATATATATATATATATATATTATCCCCAAACCCTATTCTGCCTAATCAGACCCCTCTGCAAAAAAGACTGGATTTGACATAAGCCTTACAGAAAGAAGCCTTTCGAGGAACCTCCTCAGTTTATCCCCGAGACCCGTGACAACCTCTAATCCCCGAGCCCTAGAGCCTGAACCCTAAACCTGAAACCCTAAACCCTAAAACTGAAATTCTGAACCCCAAACCCTAAAACCCTAGAGCCCTAAACCCTAAAAGTCAAACCCTTCACCCCAAAACCCTGAACCCTAAACCCCTGAAGCCCCGATCCCACTCTATTCATCTCACTGGCCCAAAACCCAAGGAAATAACAACTGAAACTTTCAGAATCGACTTCCTTCGAAGATCCCCAACATGTTGAAAAGTTAAGTTTACAGCCAAAAAGTCATCTAAACCACAAGCGCAACACCTGCCCAGGCCCCGACTGAAGGGACGGCGAAAGCAGGAGGAGCATCCTGCCGTTAGCTTTTCCACGATTCGGGGTTTAGGGGTCTGAGGTTTGGGGTTTGGCGTTTTACGGTTTAGGGTTTTACAGTTTGAGGTTTTAGGGTTTAGGACTTGCAAATTTAAATCATAGGGTATAGTGTTTAAGTCTAAGTTGTGTCTTAGGATGTCTTCAGCGGATTGGATCCTTCGAAAGGAGGTGCCATTTGGGCGTACATTGTCTTGCACGGTTGCTCTGGAGCAACAACCATGTATAATTTCGGCTTTACCTAGACCCTCCATCTACCTTCTATTAGACCCTAAATGCCCCTTCTTTGGGACCATATACCCCTACTTGAAGGTACAAGGAGCGTCCTGGAATTCGGAAACTGGGCTTCGGGCCGAAGCTTCCAGGACTCTGGCATGACAAGCTGGAGTCTCGGTACTTTCCCAAAGACTCCAATATCCCTTAATTGCGGAATATTCCTTAACTTATAGTAGGATCCCGAATATGATTTAAGGAATATTCCTTAATTAAAGGATATTGGAGTAGACCCTCTGGGTTTGGTAACCCCTAAATTCACCCGAATCCCTCAAACCTTGGAAGGCCTGGGCTCCAGGGCGCAGGGTTTGCAGGTTTAGCCTTGCGGGGACTTAGTAACTAGGGGCTACTACTAAGGTAACTATACTTATACTTACTTATAACCCAAGTAAGGTACTTATAACTTATAACCATACTTACTAGGTCCCATGATCCTCCGAGGCCAGACTTCAAGGAGGGGAGGAAGTGGCTGAAATCGCCAAAGCTGCCCTGAACAATTCCGAGTGTTGGGTTCCGGGCTCGAGGGATTTCAAGGGTTGAGGTCGTAGCAGTCGTTTGGAAGGTCAAGTGGGGCATACGCCTCCTTGACACACCTCAGCTGCAGTGCAGAAAGCACTCCGAATTCTCCCCAAACTCAGGAGCCTCAAAAGGGCAGTCTAGCGCTCATGTTCTGGTGCTTCAGGGGATTCGTTTTAAGATTCACTGTCAAGGTCTGCCACTATACTAACCTTTGGGAGTCCATGCTGGCAAAGCCCACGGGTGCGGTCGCAAAACACGGATTTCATGAGCCCGGAAGCCAAACCCAAGGTTCAGGGCTGATGTGACAAGCTGTGTGAAACAAAAGTGGCAAAATACCGTTCGGCAGCGACGGAGTGTGCTGCCTCCAGCGACGGAGGCTCCTTGATGCTCCTTGCCCTTGCCGCCCTTGGCGCCCTTGGCTTGGGCGATTCGATTCGCCTGTTGTGCATCCCTCGCGTGCTCAGCCCTTTTTTCGTCCGCGAGGCGAAGGAGTCGCATGCATGAAGCATCCAACCTCCTGGCCCCAAGTCCAACAAAAAGCAGCGGTGGGAGGAGCAGGATGGACGTTGCCACGCAGGCGCTGTTATCGTCGCCATAACAGCAGCGGTATACAGCATTCTGTCCAGTATCACAAGAGCTGACCCTACTGCTAGTCTCCAAACCAGCTACAACGATCCGACAGAATACGCCGCAAACACCAAACTCCCTAATCCCCCCTATAATTAAACTCCCGAGACCCCCATATAACTAAACTCCCTAAACCCTGAAGTCCCTAAACCCCTACATTCCCGCCCCACCCCCGTAGCAAGCCCCCAGATCTGCAGAGCCTCCTTTGCAGTGCCCTCCTCGCCCTCTGCCATTGCAAAGGCGGCAGGGGGTTGGCTTCAAAACCTTCTGTCTCAAGCTCGAAGGTAAGCAGTGTTAAGTTACCCTAAGGGTCCAACTACCTCAGAGTATGGATTTTGGGACCTACAACCTTACTAACTATTTGGGTACTTGGACCCTCTGGGTTAGGGTTCGGGAACATGAATATTTTTCCTCTGCTGCTACTGCTGATCCTGCCTTCGCTCTTCGAAGCTTACTGTGTTGCTGGACACTCTCTACGAGGCTTCCGGTCATGTGAACACCTACGGTTGCTAGGATACCCAGTAACCTAAGAATAAAAAGGCCTCTCTTTTTGGTATTGGGTAACTTTATAAGGAACCTAGGACTACAAAAAGGGAATAGGGGCACTACTGGGCATCCTGGGTTGCACAGCAGTGCCATGTCCTAAGGAATCGGTTTACGATGACTTTCAAACGTTTACTTCTACAGTAACTACCCCTGTTGATCACCTCTGAAAGATACCGTGAGAATGCCTTCTTGCTGAATTCGCTCTCTCATGCTGGAAGCCTCTAGCTCCATGCAGAACATGGGGCCCTAATAATTAGAATCGGGTTTTGGGGCTCATCATACTTTAGTTATAATAAAGAGCCCGAAGATAGTATTGGTTATTAATTAGGCCCCTACACATGGAGCCGGTGCATAGATTCAACAAGCTTCATAGGACTTCGAAGCACACAACAAAAGGTGATGCTACTAATGAACACGCCTCTTCCTAAACGGCCCTAAACCCTGCGCGTCCCCGCAACCCACTTGTTGAAGGACTCATAGTCAGAAATGAAAAGATAGGCAATTTGGGGCTTGGGGATCCTGTGTGGTTTGTACAAGGGGGTATTGTAGGATTTAGTTTGGGTTTCAGCGCTGTCTGGCCTAGTGTTTAAACAGCTTAAAATCTAAGTTTTAGGGCATAAAGACCTAAACCCCTCTAAGTAAGCCCCAACATGCGTGCAGCAAGCCTGTGAGCTGTCTCTTTGTTATTTCTCCCCTTCCCTCTGCGACGAGAGCGGTGGGAATAAGATAACGCTTGCAGCAGCGCATCCTAGAAGCCCGCTTACAGAAATAGTAGAACTATTGGTCCTAAAACTTTAACCAATCTAAATACCACAGTAACCAGTACCCCAATAAGCCATATCCCAACAACCTACTATGTAAAGGCTTCAGATCGTTCGTCGTGCCTTTTCAAGGATCCTTCTGTCAATTCATGCGATGTGAACAGTCCCCCGTGTGAGTCCACATGGCTATATACAGCGAGCTCTTTTCGGTCTATCCGTATATACAGATTATGTGCTTACACATGCCTACAGCTTATCCAAACATATAGTCTTGGATTTCCTGTTCGCCGGATGAAACCCTAAATAAGCTGTAAGAGCTCGGATTTGCGTGTTAAGGGGTCTTCTGCACAGTTCAGGGTCTACAGCTTTATGGGATAGGGTTTAAGGCTTCGGGTTTACAAGTTCAGGGGTCGGGTTTAGGTCTAAGTTCCCCAAACCACCCTGAACCCTCACCCCCCTAAACCCTCAACCCTTCAAATCATACCTCTCTAAACCTCAACCAACCCTAAACTCCCTGAACCCTAAACCGTGTAGTGCCACGAGGATTGCTCTGAACTGCAAGCAGGAACCGCTAGTCGCATGAACAGCTCTCCTGAGCCACCCCCCCCTGCCAGGACCCTCTTTGTATCCTCAAATAGGGGTATATGGTATATGGTCCCAAATAAGAAATATTTAGGGCCTAATAGAGGGTAGATGGAGGGTCTAGGTGGTTTATGATTTCGGGTACAGGGCTTTATGGGCTTCAGGGTTTAGGGTTTATCGGCTTTATAATAGGGTTCAGGGTTTTTGCGGGTCTTTAGGGTTTAGAGCTTGGGTATGGGTTAAGGGTTTAGGGTTTATGGGCTTTAGGGTTTAGGGTTTTGGGCTTTTGGGTTTCCGACAAAGGTGCATGGCGTAATGGGCAGCTACAGGGGAACACCGACGCAGTAAGCTACCCGTGGGACAGTGAAACGAAACTGCCAGCCGCAGGCCCGAACACGTCAATGACCCTCTTAATCCTAAGGTTTCCTTTCAAGGGTTCCTTCAAAAGGCTTCCATAATAAGAGCTCCTTATTTTGAGGTTTTAAGGTTTCCCTTCAAGGGTTCCTTCAAGAGCTTCTATAATAAAAGCTGCTGTTCTCTGAGGTTTTAAGGTTTTCGGGTTTAGTTTAGGGGTCTCGGTTTTTGGAAAGGGCCTTGCTTGAAGTCTAGGTTCCACAGACCCAAAGGGTCCAAGTAATAGTATAGTATATACTTTGGGGGCCCAAAACCGTAGGAAGCACCTACTATAATGGTGCTTGGACCCTTTGGGAGAGCTCTGTGCGGTGCGACAGGCTGATACGAGCAGCACCTGTCCTCCACTAACTTACCTTTGGTTAGTATAGGGAATGGACGAATGGTAGTAATAGTAGTCAGTCATAATTGTAACCAAAGGCAAGCTAAACCGAGTACGGGGCCCTCTCAACAAGTAGAAGGATGGATGCGCAATTGGGGAGTAATATAGAGCCTTAATTATTAGAATAGGGTTTTGGGGCCCACTACGCTATAATTATACATAAGGAACGCGCCAGATAGTGTAGGTGTTTCTTGAGGCCCCATACATTATGGCTTAGAGTTTGCCATTGCCTGGCGCTGTGCAGAGTCTTGGCTTACTACAATCGCAGATGTTCCATCCAAGCTGCCCTGTTGACACTATTATAAGCCCCGAGCAAACACAAAGGCTAAACTAAACCCCATTCAGTACCCTGGGCTTCAAAATAGCCCAAAAGCCTTAAATGGTATGGTCTTTGGGCCCAAAAGCCGTAATATATGGGTGGTTCTCAAAATTAGGGTCCGTTTTTGGATCCCAATTATACTACGGCACCTAATATTTCGGGTACACAAAAAGGGACCATAATTTTGACAACCACCCATATGAGTCCTTAGAGCCCTAAACCCTATGGATCCCTTTAAACGGACCAAATTTAGATCCCGTAGACGGAACCCAGAGTCTTTAGAGCCCTAGGGTTCAGCACGTGCTTCACATTGTAACAGAGATTCTGCGGCTTCTGGTTGAAACTAAGGAATGGTCTTTGAAACAATCATATGGGTGGTTGTTAAAATTACGGCCCCTCTTTGGGTCCCTATTATAATAAGGCACCTAATATTTCGGGTACACAAAAAAGGGACCATCATTTTGACAACTACCCATATAGCTCCTCACTGCTGACCTAAAAGTTTAGGAGTAGTCATTGAGCTAGATGCTTAGGGTTTGACTCAGGGTTTAGGGTTTAGGAATATCATAGTGTCTTATTGTGTAAAGAAGAGAACACTTTAGTATAAAAAAGTAATATTGCTGTACCAGCAAGACAACTCTGCTATTTAACGGCTATTTCTTATGATGACTTCAGCCATGTTCCGAGGACCTTAAGATATGCTGGAGCATCTGGGCCTTGCAACTCAGGCCTTAAATACCTTAGCACAAAATGTGTAACCCCAAAAAAGTGGAGACTGTAAAATCGCAATCCTGAAGCCCCAGCCCCCTAAAATCCCTGAACCCGTAACCCCTATGTACACGCTAAACCCTAAGGTAGAAGCCAGAAAGTTGGAATATGATTATCCTAACCCCTTTAAGGTAAATTTTAGGGGATCCTGCCATTAATCCATATTCCAACTTTCTGGAGTTCCCTTTAAATGCAAAACGCTAAATGAAAGCTTCACAGCTCAGCCACTGGTCTCTTGACATGTCCGCGTGCACTGCGCTGTACACATCTCACCAGCCTTTGCCCTGGCTTTTGCCGCCTTTCCAGCCTGTCGGCCGTTTAGAGTTATAGTATACTTCAGTTTTAGGGTACTATAGGCTTCTATAACAGGGTTCCTTACAGGGATCTATAAGGGTTCTATAATGGGGATGATGGGACTTAGTAAGTATGGGGTCATAAGTACCTTAATAATTCAGGCTTAATTGGTGTTAGAAGTTATTAGAAGTATTAGTTATCCTTATCATAACCGTAATTACTAAGTAACTGATGCGATCCTTTAAGTGGGTGGTTGTCAAAATTAGGGTCCCTTTTTGGGTCCCTATGATAATACGGCACCTAATATTTAGGGTACCCAAAAAGGGACCCGAATTTTGACAACTACCCAAGTAGGGCTGTTCTGCGGGTCGAAGAGTATAAGAAGGGCCTTTAAGGTCGAAGAAATCGGGTTGAGGGCTTACTAGGTGGGGCTTTTGAAGCCTTTGAAAAATATTAGTAAATAAGATCCTCTTAACCCCAAAAAGGGAAAATATAAAATGTCCCAAAGCCCCACCTAGCTTAGGGTGTAGGGATGTTTGGGGTGTAGGCTTTGCAGCAGGATTTGGAGCTCAGGGTGTCGGGTTTAGGGCCGGGCGAGGGTGTACCTGGAGCAACCAAGGCAACTTAAAAGAGAAATGCACGCAGTCTTCGGGGTCATGTCTGAAAGGCGCATTGGTTACTCCAGCTATAGGGTTTAGGGTGTAGAGATTTAGATTTAAGGTTGTTTAGGCTTTAGAGATTTACAGCTCCTCCGGGGATTGAGGACCTTGGAGTTTAGGGTTTTTACGAGTTCGAAAGACTAAGACAAGCCTGACTGGCATCAGCTCGAAGCACGCAACTCTGAACTAAGGACCCTCTTTGACGATCCCTGCTCAGCCAATCCTCGTAAAAAGCATCCCAAAACCCGGACACCCCAAAGGGTAGCTTCCGTTTAAAATGGGACCCTAATGTAGTACCCTACATCCTAGGATCCTTATATACGTAAGGACCCCAAAATAAGGTAACCCCCTATTTTTCGCAACCTCCCGGATCCCCCACGCAGCCTCCTTTGTAGCCCTTGCCACCTGCTGGCAGGGAGAAATAGGCTGTGACCCTTCCCCTATCCAGTGCCTGTGGTTTTCATGTTTTACCTATGGTTTCAGGGACTATGGCGACTACAGCGTGACGCCGGGATACAGTACCCCGCTTGAACCTGGCGCTAGCATGTAGCTGCATCTTAGACAAAAACACAGCCTCACATCAGCCCAGAAACCACAAAGCGAGACGCCTTGATCTATGCAAGCGCAGGTGCTTCGGGTGGCTATATTGCTTCATGCAGAAAAACGTACACCCTTTGCCCAATCTAGCCTGCGCCGAAGCCTGGCATGGATAGGTCAACGTGATCAGGAACCCGACTGGGAAATCACAACTCGCAAACGGTAAATATCGCTCCATACTTGATCATTTTTGAGGACCGAAATCAAGGACTCCGCAGGGTGTTTGATACATTGGCGGGTTCCTGGAGCCTTGGGGAACGATTGCGCAAATATTCTGCCTGGGTCGCAAGTCTTGCGCAACGGACACTGTAACAAACTCAAGTGATCAAGGTCGAAGATGAAGTCTATGCTATCTACTTTTACTTGGTGTAGGGTTAGGGAATTAGGCTTGATAGTTAAGGGTCTAGGGTTTAGGTTTCGGTTTGAGGGTCCACCTTGCAAGCTGTAGAGTTGAGGGTTAACCTGCCATAACCTAATCTTTTTGTATGGTCTGAATACAAGCCCAACTACAGAAGTTAACGGTGACCTACGGAAAAAGAGATTTTGGTCATTGGTTGGTGCAGGTACACCTCCAGGCTAAAGAATGCCAGCCCTGACACCAACAAGCCAACTTAGTACTCCGGTAAACGCCCCATGAGAGAAATATGTAAAGCCAAAGGGAACACCAAGACACCCAAAGCCCTCAAAGTACTACAGGGGACTACATAATTACCAACATTCCCAAAGGCTCCTCATATACTACATTATGGAATTAGGTCTCAAAAAACCATCCTCATTATGGTTTTCTTCCATAATGGTAGTATATGAGGAGCCTCTACGATTATGCTTTGGGTGCCTTAGAATCGACATACGGTACAAAAAACAACCGTATTCTAGCTCTCGAGGCCCCTGCAGGGCTTATAGGGTTTAGGGAGTTTAGGAGTTGAGGGTTTACGGCTGTGGGGTTTAGGGTTTAGGAGTGTTGGGGTTGTGGTTTAGGATTTGAATGGCGTTTAGGGTTTATATAGGAGGTTTAGGGTTTAGGGTTTGTGGTTTTTTGGGGCCTTAGGGTTAACCTTTCCAAGCACTTGTCCCAATCCTGGCCTCCTTTCATGCCTTTGCCTGTTCCGGGGCTGGGAACTGCTTTGCTTCATCTCTAGCTTACTATTTTGGTTGTTCTCTAGACCAGGGAACGACCAGGGGACTTTGTAAGTAGGGTTGGCTTTACAAGTGGCGTTGTAGGCGGTGGAAGCTTACACAAGGTACTTACATTTACGAACCCCGAGACCACCCGATATGTGCGTGAACGTCAACTATCAAGGCGTAGTAATTCCTGACCCTAAGGCTGCATGTACCCATTTAGTATATGCTTAGGCCTTAAAGTACTTATATTTATATTTATTTATATATATATATATATATATATATATAGGGAATACTTTAAGGCCAATGTATATATCATAAAGGTACATGGAGCCTTTGAGTGATAAGAACCCTGAAAGTAGCCCTCATGGAACCTTTTTGAAAGGAGCCCGCAGAGCAACCTACACTAATGACAAAGACGCCTGGCAGACTTTCTTGGAGGATCATAGGACTTAGAAAGTATGGCTTGAATTACCTTCATGTGGGTTACAAGTCATTGTAAGCATAGTTACCCTAGTACATTGCTAAGTCCAGTGATAGGTACCAACTGCCCAGATTCGCCAAAGGGGTGGTGGAACCTTTCTGGAATTTACGGCTTAAGGGTTTGGGGTTCATAGGGTTTAGTTCTACGGTTTTGGGGTTTATGGCTTAAGGGCTTGGGGTTTAACTAGTTAGTTCCAGGGTGGTTTTACGGCTGAAGGTTTAGCGTTTCGTTGAGGTTTTTCGTTTACGGCTAAAGATATGGAGCTTAAACTTAGGGTTTAGTTTTGGAGCTTTGGGTTTATGGTTCCTTTGGGGTTTGGGGTTTAGTCTTAAGGTTTTTGGGTTTAGGGATCTATGGGGTAGGGTTTCAGCGCTTCTGCCTGCAGGTCGTCTGTTACACGGTATAAGCCCAAGCCCCTGGATCCGTAATTTATGCCGAAAACCCAGATAAGAAGAAACCTGCACCGATAAACCTTGGTCCCTACTGAATCGAAGGATCATGGGACTTAGTAGCCCGCGATTATTAAGGTAGCTACGTATACTTATACATACTTATAGCCCCGGATTGGTGTTCTTTCACCAAATACTTACCAAACCCCACAAAAGCCCTTAGCCCCACAGCCCTAAACCCTAAAACCGTCAATTCCAGAGTCCTAGAGATCCCTGTTCTGGAACTCAACCCTGAGGGTTTATGTACCCAACTGGTATATACTTTGGTATTCAAGTCGTCCCTATATAGGTACTTTGGGTCCGATGTAAATACACTTTGGCACATAGACCCCGTGGGTAAGGAGCCCTAAACCCTGAAGTCTAAACCGCCTAAACCCCTCAACCCTAAACCCGTCATTTCTAGAGAACCCCGTAACGAATACCGTTATGGTACCCTGACAAAGAACCGGGTCCATGGACCCCCTTTTAGATAAGGAGCCCTAAGGTAACCATACTTATAATTACTTATAACCCCAATTAATGTACTTATAACCATACTTACTAAGTCTGATCCCTTTAAACAAAACCCTGTCATAGAACCCTATAGTACCCTTAGAAGGAACCCTAAACCCTACTTACTAAGTCCCATGATCCTTTAAGTAAACCCTAATGATCCCCATTGTAGAACCCTTTATAGATACATTTCAGGAGCCCTTTAAGGAGCCCTTTAAGGAACCCTACCATGATCCTCCAAGTAAGCAACTCTCCAAGGAACCTCTACCGGAGCGCTCGGAGGCCTAAAGCCGCTGACGCCCTCAAGAAAACCCGGCGTCCTAATATTCTTAAACTCCAAGCCCGAAACCCTTATAAACCCTAAATCCCAAACCCGAATCCCTATGTTCAATCCTAGACCTCTCTTTTGTATCTTATAACCCACCGAAACGCATCTCTTTGTATACGTTTTTTCACGGACCCTAGAAAACAGTAGGTTGTGGATTCGTAAGGTATGTCTTGAAACCCAAGAGCGCCTGGCATCTTCGGCATCAGCCGTGAGGCAGGGCCTCGATCGTCGGCCTCGGCAGTCACCGCAAGGTGCTGGGGCTTCCGGGTTTCGGGTTTAGGGTTCTGCAGGGGTTCCTTTGAAGGGATCCTTAAAGGATCTACAATGTCGGGTTTAAGGCTTATAGGGTTTAGGGTTCTACCTGGACCTCAAAGTTATGTAGAATAATTGCCTTTTTATATGTTTTCAGCTATGATTTTTCCTACTTTGGGGGGTTTAGGTATAGGGGTTCCTTTGAAGGGATCCTTAAAGGATGTACAACAGGGTTCAGGGTTTAGGGTTTAAGGCTTATAGGGTTTAGGGTTTCGGGTTCAGGGTTTAGGGCTCCATGTAGGGCCTGTATAATTACCAGTTCTATGCGGTTCCCTGATCTGTTTCCCCTGCAAAATCCTGTTCTAACTCGTCAGGCCCCCTATATCAGATTTTGTAGCTTTGCGGAGTCCAAGTTTGAGGGTTTAGGGCTTTAGCTTTGCGATTACGCGGGCTCGATATATGGGCTCTTTGAAGTTCCATGATTCGGGTTTAGGCTTGAGGCTTTACCTTAACCCCAAATAACCTACCTTTTTAAGGACTTATATAAAGAAATCACATTAGGGAACCCTAAAACGGTAGGTTCCTTGGGGTCCAGGTAGGGTTTTGGATTTTGGGGCCGTGTAGGGCGGCTTAGGGCTTAAAGCTGTGGGAGACTAGGGATTTAGGTTTGGGGCTAGCTAGAGTGAATTTAGGGTTTAAGGGTTAGGGGTCTAGGGTTTAGGGCCTTAGGGGTTTAGGGGTTTAGGGTTTAGGGGTTTAGGGTTTAGGGGTTTAGGGTTTAGGGGCTTAGGGGTTTAGGGTTTAGGGATTTCTCCTGCAGCACTTGCGTAGACCACTTTGGTTCAGGGGCTTGACAATGGAATCCTCGTGCATCTTGGAGAGCTCAGAATGTCTCGCTGCTTGGTTGCCAATGTCTGCTAAATGGGAGTTTCCGAAATTAGGGTTACCTTATTTAGGGGTCCTTATAAAGATATTCGCCTTTGAGGCCCGAGCAAGCAGAACTCGTACGTCCCCGACAACTCCGGCCAAGTGAACCGAGTGCGGTGGCCACATCACAGGTTCTCCAAATTACCACAATAGGGATCTATCGTGTACGCACTATGGTAACTTAAAGTACAAGTCTGATTAGAACAAACAAGGGTTTACCCAGAGGCTCCATAGTAGTTCCTTTGTGGGATAACCTTATAGGACTCTATATATGAAACCCAAAAAAGAACTACTATGGGGCCTCTGGGTAAGTCTTATGGTATCGAAAGCGTACGCCAGTCTGGCACGGCAAAGCGTGCCTTCGCACAAGGCATGTCTTTTTCTTCACACGCGAAGCTTCACATCAAAATCCTGCCTGCTCTTTACCCAAAGGCCCCAAAGTAGTTCCTTTTGGGAGTTCGTATGTAGAATCCTATAACTTAATCCCCAAAATGGAACTACTATGGGGCCTCTGGGTATGAGCATCCCAAAGCTGAAACCTGAAACCTCGGGCTGCTCCAACATACAGGGAACTCCAGAAAGTTGGAATATGGATTAATGGTAGGATACCCTATGATTTACCATAGAAGGGTTAGGATAATCATATTCCAACTTTCTGGCTTTTACCATAAATCCCAAACCCTGACCCCTGGAATGTTTCACGCTAAAGCCCCAAGCCCTGCAACCTGCACTCTACTTGGAGGGGCAGGGGACTTAGTAAGGGTTCTTAAAGGGCTCCTTAAAGGGATCTATAGGGTTCCTTAAAGGGATCTATGGGGTTTAGGGTTTAGGGTCTACTTGGAGGGGCTTTTGGGACTTAGTAAGTAGGGCTATAAGTAGGGTTATAATTGGGGTAACTCCATTTAGGGTACCTATAACTCTGCTTATCACCATACTTACTAAGTCCCCTGCCCCTCCAAGTAGGATCTATAAAAGCTTCAACTCCCAAAGCCGACATCATATGGACGAACCGACTGGAACTCTGACTGGTCTGGTTATGGTTTATGGTTTTGGGTCTCTCCAAGGGTAAAAGGACGGACCCTTAATAAGGAACCCTCGGTATATACCCTTAATATAGCTATTATATACCCATTATATAGCCCATTATAGGGTAGGGGTCCCCATTAAGGGTCCCTCCTTTTCCCCTTTGGGTCTCAGGTTCATCCTCCACCCCGGAACTCATGCAGACGCGAAGCGAAAACTTGTGCAACACGAATCTCCCCAAGAGCACTGCACCGGAAGCCCTCGAAAGTACCCAGCCAGCCCAAACCAGCCCTAAACCCTAAACCCACCGAAATGCACCGAGTTCAGAAGGGCACATTTCGACAACATCCTGCTGACCAAGGGTTCCCATAACATCGAAACAGAACGCGAAGGACCCCTTTGAAAGACTGAAGCCTGAACAATCCTATAGCCTAAACCTCTGAACCTAAACTCCCTACATTCCCTGAAATCGTTTTCGAGCCCTTCCAGAACGTCCAGATGTACACTAGGATACCCAATAACCTAAGAATAAAAAGGCCTCTCTTTTTGGTATTGGGTAACTTTATAAGGAACCTAGGACTATAAAAAAGGAATAAGGGTACTACTGGGCATCCTAGTACACTGAAAGGCACCCCAAAACCTCAACTCTAAGCCTCAAAACTTGAACCCAGACTGTAAACCCCGTGGCCCATAGCTCAACAAACTCTCATAGAACAGCTACCGAGGCTTTGAAAAAAAAACAGAATCCTAAGCAGCGACAGAAAGACTCATAAGACCTTCGTCAGGCCATCTGAAACTCTGAAGAATCGTAAAGGCAAAGCCTAGAAAGCCTCGGGATCTCTTCAAACAAAGAAAGACACCTGCAAAACCTTGGCCAGGAACTTCAGAACCTTTACCTGTATCCCCAAACCCCACAAAATAGTAGGTTATTATCCCTTAATTAGAGGGTCTGACCCCTTAAAACGGTAGGTTTTGGGATCCACAGGTAGAACCTTGTAAACCTTGTAACCATAGGCTCCATAGTAGTTCCTTTTTGTCGTTGATATTTAGAATCCTATACGGTAATCCCAAAAAGGAACTACTATGGAGCCTCTTGGTAAACAAAAAGTTGAAAGCAACGACAGGACATGACCCAGAGACTCCAATATCCTTTAATTTAAGGAATATACCTTAAATTATTGTAGGATCCCTAATATGGTTTAAGGTATATTCCTTAATAAAGGGATATTGGAGTCTCTGGGGACCACAGCCCCGGGCCCCTTCCGCGGACCACGAAGCAGCGCGCTTCATGCCCTTGGCGGACGAGGCTTCGGGCGAAGGGCGCTTTGGGGTCTAGGGTCTTGGGATTTAGGATGTTTAGGGTTTACCTGGACCCTAAAGAACCTACCTCTTTTAGGCTCCTTATTATGGTTTCCCTATATATAAGACCTTGAAAAGGTGGGTTCTTTAGGGTCTAGGGCTTTAGGGTCTTGGGGCTGAGGGCCTCGGATGTAGGGAAGGGGTCTAGGGTCTTGGGGTGCAAGTTTGGGGCTTGAGCTTTTGGACCTGGGCTTTGGTTTTAATTTTTGGGTTTACGGGGCTTACGGTTTGGGGCTTTGTTTGGGGTTGAAGGGTCAGAATTAGGGTATCACAAGGCAGGGTTCTATGCCAGGTCATTTTGGTGAGAGAAGGAAACCCTGGACCCCTGAACCCCTAGACCCTGAACCCTGACCCAACCCTGAACCCCGAAACTTTAAACTGTAAACCCTGACCCTAAACCCAAAACCCTAAACCCAAGACCCTGAACCCAAAGCCCTAAACCCTAAACCCTGGACCCCCTAAACCCTCAAACCCACAACCCTGAACCCCGAGACTCTAAATCCTATTGTGAACCCCAGAAAGTTGGAACATAGATTTAGGATGGTTCATGCTGGGATTCCCTATACTTTACTCTAAGGGCATGAGGCTAACGATGTTCCAACTTTCTGGCTTCTACTGTAAGCGTTCCGAGGCTTCGGCTTCAGGGACTTTGGGATTCTGGACTACGGCTCCGCGATTGAGGGTGCACCACTACTCAGACCTTCCAAAATCCCTTAATTAAGGAATATCCCGTAACTTATAGCAGGATCCTTAATATGCCTTAAGGTATATTCCTTAATTAAGGGATATTGGAAGGTCTGGGTACGGTTGATGATATAAATCTGCATTACCCACAATAAGGCATATACCATAATTCCCATAGTTGAGGGTCCTTAAGGTAATGCACGATTTATATCATCAACAGTATTGTTGCTTGGATGCCCAGTAACCTAGGAATAAAAGGGGCTCCCATTGTGGTATTGGGTAACTTTATAAGGAACCTAGGACTACAACAAGGGAATAAGGGCGTACCGGGCATCCTAGGTTGTTATTCTGGTTACTATAACCATTATTACTACTAGAACTTCTGGATGATACTTATTACGATGACCATCATTCTTGTTGTTTTTACGGCTGTGACGTCATCAAGAACATGGCGATGGCAATGTTCACGTAGGCCGGCTGTCGCAATGGCTTGGTTAACTGCCAGGACCTCCAACGCCCTCTCGGCCCTAACCCCTAAACCCCTAAACCCTAAACACATCGTCGAATGTTCGAGGGCTTGCCAGCATCGCCGCCGCCAGTGGATGCAGCGGGGACAGGCACAGTCTACCAAATCCATTACTGGCACTGCCTAGAAACCGACCGCACACTGAGCCATAGCTGCGGTCCAAGACACGGAGTGCCGTCAAACGAGCCAGACAGTCACTCGTAGTAGCACATGTGGCTTGGGCTTGAGCAAGTTGATCTGCGCGATGTCGCTTCAGCTCGGTCGCTTTCCCATGACTTTCCTGAGTCTCCTCGTCGTTCAGGAGGCGTGGCGTGCCGTGCGCTTGCACGGCTCTGAAAATTACGGAAAGCGGCAATAATCAACTTGTCCTCTATTGCACAATGCAGGAGTCGAGTTGTTCAAAACTCTGACAACACCATGAAACCATGATTCACGCTCTAGGGAAAACTCATCCTCACAGGGGTTATAACAGATCTACCGAGGCCCATGCGCCGTTTTGCGAGCCTGCGCCGAACTTTAGAACAAAATGTGTCATCCTCTAAGGGTTTACAGTAAGCTTCCTTGAAGGCTTTCTGTACAAGTGCCTCTAAAAGGGTACTAGACCCTAGAATGTATACCTGGTTTGGGGGAATGCGCTTTATGGTGATCCAATAAGAAGAAACGAAGGAAACAAAAACGAACACACCTTGGTGTCTCGGTTCAGCTCTCTTGTAATCGGCGTGGAGCTTGGGGCAGAGTATAGCACATGATGTAGGGGCCTTAATAATTGGAACAGGGTTCTGGGGGTTTCTCATTATAGCTTTAATATGATTTATCTCCAAACCCTATTCTACTTAGTAAGGCCCCTGCAGTATAGCATCTAGGGGCTATGAGGGTTGGATTTGTCACTATTGCTCAGACCTCTAAATCCACTTGCAGGACTTGTATGTTTAGTTCACCGAGCATTCGCCAACTAGGGCATTATGGCGATTCTGGGAATCTTTGATGGCCTCTGGCTTGAAGCTAAGGCTTTGGTCTTCAAGGCTTTAGCTTCCTGTTGGGTCTGTGGATTTAGATGGCTTAGGGTCCAGGTTAGGAAGGCAGAGATTTTCAGGTGCAGCGGTAGTTATCATGTGGGTAGTTGTCAAAATGAAGGTCCCTTTTTGGGTACCCTACATAATGGGTGCCGCATTATGATAGGGACCCAAAGAGGGACCATAATTTTGACAACCCGCCATGTAGCTGGCCACAGAGAGACCAGCGAGCTTTCGCAGCTGTACTACCCACACCGGACTGGGATTGGAGCTTGGTGTGTAGGGTTTCAGGGCTTACTTGGAGGTTCATGGGTAGTTATAACTGGGGTTCTAAGTCTCCTAATGCCGGTTAAGAGTACAGTTACCTTACATATAACCCCACTTATAACTACCCATGAACCTCCAAGTAGGCTTCAGTGTTCAGTAGTGTGTACTCACACTCCACCTGTCGGGTGAAGCGCTTGCAGCCTTTCAATGGTACACCAAGTTCGATTCACAGGGCGTAATACGAAATTCCTAGGAAGTCGGAAGCTAGACCCAACAGCAACCTAGTAATAAAAAGGGCGCCCTTTTTGGTTTAAAGGGGCTTATAAGGGAACCTGAACCCTGAAAAATGGGAATAAAGGCCTACCATAGGTCCTAGGAAGATAGCGCAGTCTTGTTGGATCTAACAACTCGGGGAGGAGAGGCCTCATGAATTTCCACGGGGTTCCTGTAGCTTTATTACATACCCTAAACCCTGAAAGCCTAAACAAACCCCTCAGCGCCTAAACCCCGAAACCGCAAGCCCCCAAACCCGTAAACCCTAAACTCCAGAGTTCTTCCCCGAAGCCCTTCAGCTCCCGGAGACTCCAATATCCCTTAATTTAGGAATATACCTTAAATCATATTAGGGATCCTACTATACTTTAAGGTATATTCCTTAATTAAGGGAGATGGGAGTCTGTAAACCCCCAAAAGTGCGGACCCAAAGCTTTGAGACGGCAACAGGAACCCCAAACCGAATAGCACCTGAGCCCTCAACCCGAAACCCTTCAACCCAGCACTGCCTGTAAACCCTAAAGGCATAACTAAATGCCACATCTTGGAACACCAGCTCTTAATATAAGAGCTTCAACCCATCCTCATCGAATCCTAAAGCGTGAAGTCCTGCAAACCCTCCCAAAGGCTCCATGTACCCTTGTAGTCGGTACCTAGGCCGTTTCGTGCCCATATAGAGACCCCTTTAAGGCCTAAGTACCATGGGTACATGGAGCCTTTGGGCCTTAGCTGCGAAGTCCTTAGTTCGAGGCCCTGGAAACTTTAAGGCTTCAGCGCGTCAAGGCTCAAAGTTCTTTTGGGCTTGGGGTTTGGGGTTTAGGCGTTTAGGGTTTCGGGTTTAGGGCTTTAGGCGTGTGGGGTTTCGGGTTTAGGGGTTTAGGCGTTTGGGGTTTTGGGTTTAGGGCTTCAGGAAGTTCAGGTTTTAGTTGCCGATGTCGCATACTGTAGATCCTTGGCGAAAGAACTCCCTGTCTTTAAAGGCCCTGATGCCAGGATCCCTACTAGACTTCCTAGTTCTTAATCAAAGTTCTAGGTACTGTGGAATAGGACTGGAGTTTCGGGTTTGGTTTTGGTTTAAGGTTTGATCTATGGCTTTGCTGCGTTCGGACTCTGGGGCTTTATTAGGGTCTCGGCTCGGGGAGTAGGGGCTTAGGGTGTAAGGTGAATGACAACAGGGATCCACATAGTATGGGACAAAAAGGAATCGGGCTTGCGGCCTTCATCCTGAATGGAAACCCCCTGTCTGTCTGCCTTCGACAAGGTCGCATGTAGTGTCCAGCAGATCTCTTTGGAGGCCAAATGCCCCATGCCATGAGGTCCCATCTGCTGTGCCGGGACGCCTGCGAAGACCCCACGATGGTCGGCCATGATGCAGAAGGCTTATCCTCCAGCATGCGTGCCACTAGCAGCGCGTACCACCGCAGCTGAAGGCGCCGGTGCTTCTGATTTTCCGGAGCTCCTCTTCGAGGTTGCAGCTCTGCGACGTCGACAGATGAATGTGAACATCACGGCTGTCCATCACGCGCTGTCAACTCCAGTCTAGCTCCATGACAACTAACCTTACTCAAAGCCCACGGGTGTAATCCCCCAAAACCCCCAGAAGTGCAAGACCCTGAAGCCCGGAACGTCCCCAAAAGCCAACACGGCAAACAACAAACCTCTAAATCCCCTTTCGGAAGGCACGATACTAGGCTTGAGCCTGGTACAGTATATACACCTAAAACCCTGGACCTGAAGACCTAAATCCCAGACTCTATTCATACCCTAAGCTCTACAAATGTACCCTTGGTAAGAAATGGCTTAAGGTCTCAGGGTCTTAGGGTTTTAGGATGTTTAGGGTTTTGGGGTTTCAGGGTTTAGGGTCTCAGGGTTTAGAGACGCCTGGAGCCCTAAAGCCTCGAACCCTAGCCACCAAGACGTCACTGCCCTAAACTAAAATCCTTAACTGCACTAACCAATGTAGGGGCCTTAATTGTTGGAATAGGATTTGGGGGTATAAAGTATACTGTAAGTAGAATAAGGAACCCCAGAACCCTTTTCTAATTATGAGGCATAAGTACAATAAGGAACCCCCAGAACCCTTTTCTAATTATTGAGGCGCCTTGCATTACACAGACACCCACAGGTAGCCTGCCTCCCTGCTCCTCGCTGAGCAGGGCTGCCACCTGCCCACGGCCAGAGGTTTATTGAGCTGATCTTTCCCTAGGGATCGGAATAGACCAAAAGCCTTATATAGTATGGTCTTTGGGCCCAAAAAGCTTAACATATGAGTCCTTAGATCCCCAGGGTTTGCTGGTGTTTGAACCCATTTTGGAATCCCTGGCCCCGAGAATCTTAAAACCACAAAATCCCCATCCATGGACAACACAGACTCACCAATATACTGAAGGAGCCCTGTTGGGGCAGTATGTCTCTGCTGAGAGGGCGAAGCGACACCACTGCGGATGGGACATTTGAGAGCTGAAAGCCCGAAACGGTCCATATTGAAGAGCACCAATGAAAGACACCTCAACGAAAAGACTGCCGTAAGCAAAGGCCCCTAGAGTCACAGGTACCCAGAGAGCCCAATACCCCTTAATCAAGCAATATAGCTTAAATCATAATATGAGGCCCCATATAATTTAAGCCATATTCCTTAATTACGAGGTATTGGGCTCTCTGGGTAAGTTGCCCTCAACCCCGAACCTTAAACCTTTCAGTCCACTCGATGCCTATAAACCCCATGTAGGAACCCGAAACCCGGAATCCGAAACCCCAACCCCAAACCCATTAAACCCAAAAAGCTGAGGCCGAAGCCCGAGCCCTAAGCCTACACTTTGTTAACGGGTTTAATTTAAGTCACCATAATAGGGATCTATAGTAAATAACATGGTTTCCTTGTTAATTCTGGTAACTTAAAACGAAACCCATCAACAAGAAGCAAGTAAACCCTCCCTAAACTTCGAAAGACGCGACCTGATCCAGAAAGGCCATCGTCTGGGCATTCGGGATCTGGTCCGGGTTGGCGCCTCGGATAAAGACCCAGGAACGGTTTAGGGGTCGCGGGCTCCGGGTTGGGGGTGTAGGGAGTAAGGATTCTGAAGGACAGCATTTCGTGGCGATTTTCAAGGTTTCGCAGAGCTTCATAGCAGTTGAGTGAGCGGTACAAGAATGCATACTTAGGTTATAAGTAGGGTTATAATTGGGGTAACTCCATTTAGGGTACTTATAACTCTACTTATAACCTACTTACTAATCAGGGGGTTTAAGGAAGTTGGGGCCTTGGGTCCCCTGGCCTTCCTTTTCAAGCTTCCTTTACCCAACACCCCAAACCTTGTACTTTAAGGATCATGGGACTTAGTAACTGGGGTTGTTGTTGGGGTAACTACACTTATAATTACTTCTAACCCCAATTAGGGTACTTATAACCATACTTACTAAGTCCCATGATCCTTTAAGTACCATGACCAGAAAATCTCAAACCTTACCCCCCCTTCCACCCGTCTTTAAATACATGCTGAACAAAAATGTTCGTGAACTTCAAGCAACAATATCTATGACTATTCAGACACCAAGCTTCTGCTTAGGCTCGCCTCCACTACCAGTCCAAACTTGCCAATCCAATCAAGAATCAATGAACAGTTCCACCCATTGACTTAACAGGTGTCGCCCTGAGTTACGTTGCAAGCTTTTTGGCCAGGTCCTAAACAGGTTTGTGTGGAACATTGTACTAATAGTACATGTCCCACTACTCGGTCAAAACCGTAAACCCAGGAGCCGAGAAGGGTGTGTAATGTAGGGGCCGGAGTAATTCGAATAGGGTTTCAGGGCCCTATATACTTGAGTTATAATAAGGACCCCCCCAAATAGTATAGGTAATTGTTAAGGTGGCCCATATAGAAACTATCTACAAGAGGATCTCTATCCACCTGTTATGACTATGGGTCTTGATTGAAGGGTGATCCCACTATTGCTCATTCTCGAACATATCGGTGCCTGAAAAGCTAGATTAGGATTGTGAGGTATCTTGGACTGTACTTTCAGTAGGGAACCCTCAGGCCTAGATTTGACACATATCTACTTTGTATAGATGCATCCTATATGGTAAACCAATTGACCCGTCCATCGCTGAAACGCTGAAAAGCCTAAATTCAGCTTTTGTTGTGCTCGAAACCGCTCTGGCAGGATGATAGTTAATTAGGACAAGACTGTGTCGCCTACTCCTCCCCATGAAAAAAACCTTCAAATGCCACAACCCCGGTAGCGCAAACCCACGGAGAGGAGCTATTCACCTAGGGGCTGAGTGAGTACCCCAGCCCAAAAAGGTTAATCTTTCGAACCACCCTGAGATCCCAAAACCCTTTAATTCAGGAATATACCTTAAACCATAATATTAAGCCCTATTCCTTAATTTAAGGGGTATTGGGGTCATAAGGCATAGCAGGAGTCTACAAGCCCCACAAGGTTGAAGGTTACCTACTTCAGCCCCTCAGTTCAGCCAATGGAGATTCCTCAGCGCAGACATGGCAGTTTCCGAAAATAGGGGACCCCAATATAGTACCCTAAATAGTAGGATGCTTATTCTAAGGACCCCCAAATAAGGTACCCCTAATTTTCGGAAACTTCCACATGGGATGCAGGATGTTTAGCCCCTGCACCATAAACTAAACCCTAACTAAACCCATTAACCGTCCTAAACCGCAGATTACAACCCTTAAAGAAACCCTGAGCGGAACCCATCAAGGAACTTGTCAAGAAACCCACAAAAAGGAAGCCTTAACATTAAGGAACACCAAAATCTCGAACTATGCGGATCAGGCGCAGAAAGTCTGAAAAGACGACTGGAGGGAGGCTCGAATTCGCTGAACCTGCAAACCACCGCATGCAGGAGTTAGGGGTTTCTACTTATACCAAATCCTTTATCCCCTAAACCCTTATTGAACACTTAATGGAACCCTATGTTATGGTAACTTAGATTGAAATGTTAGGTTCCTGAGTGGCCCTTTCAACAAAAGGGTACCCTTGTTGCTACAATATATTCTTAATAAGGGAACCTAAACAGAAAATAAGCAAAAAGGTACTACTGAGGAACCTAGGTTTCGTTTAGTTTAATTGGATAAGGCTTTGGGGTTAAGGGTTCGAGCTTAGGTTTGTTTGAAAGGTTCCTTTAAGGTCCTTTACGGGTTCTAGAAGGGTGCTGTAGTTAAGGGTCCCATGGGGTATCCCAATACCCCTCAGATAAGGAATACCCTTAAGTCTTTTAGAAATGGCTCCTTGACTAGGGAGTCTGTCCCCTAAGTTTTACTAGGATCCAGAAGAACGTTTATGGCATTTTGCTTGTTTCTCATTTGAATATTGTTAAAACGACGCGAGTTGTTGGCTGACCGCTTTAAACTCGCACATTGACCACCCTTGCCTGGTTGGCAGTGGCATCGTCCGCTCGGAACTTCACCCAACCATCCAGGAGAGACACCTGTTGGGGAATGCTCGAAGGCTTTGGGTTTCATAGGCTTTACACGGGGTTTGGGGCCGAGGGTTCAGGATGCAGGAGTGGCTAGGGTTGACATGCTGGTGGGTTTACTTTGGGTTTCTTTGTTTTTTTCTTTTTTGTGTGTGGGTGGAGGGAGGACTCGGGGCTCAGAACACTGACGTTGGGGTGTGTTTGTATGGTGAGTATGTCTATTGCTTGTTTGCTTACATGGGCTTGGCACAAGAAATTTGCTGAGTTCTTGGTTACGACACTGAGGACCACGCTATGTACCATAGGTCCCAAAACTCCTTCACAAGATTCCAGTCACTCAGGGTTGCAGCATTTCAGGCTTGAAGAGCTTAAATTGTGCGAGTTGTTCCGGAAGATGTGGGCCGTAATCCCGGTTCAAGTAGCCGAATGCAGGCCTCCGTTTGAAACTACCGTACCTCCGACGGGCTTGTAAGCGGGATTCTCACAAAAGGGCCCTAAGGAGAAGATGTGCACCGTGGTGTATTACTAAGGGATCTTCATAACCCCAAATCAAAAATAGAAAGACTTGGTCGTACCTGAAACGCCTTGGCCCTGGAACCAGAAGCCTAGAGCCCGTCCAAGGCCATAGTGCTTCGGGTTTAGTCCTCCAAATGCACCGAATCCCTAAGCATCCAATGCCTAAAACTGCTATAGCCCTAAATCCTTGCTCTCTCGAAACGGAGTAGGGATTTAGGGGCGGACAGCACAGATGCAGCTGTTGCAGCTGCAACAACTCACAGCCTAAGTCGCTTGCAAGGGTTTACGTTTGGGGCATATGACACATAACTCGCTCCAAGATCCAAGCATAACATTTCAGGCTCCACAGTTTCCTCACACAGTATAACACCCCAAAATCCTAAACCCTGAACAACTGACACCCTAAACCCTTACAGAGAACCACAGACCTTGCAAGACCTTGCCGGCGCTATGACTACAAGCCCTTAGGAACGTGAAGCAAAATTTTGCGACAGAAGCCTGAATAATTACTGTGGGGTTCCTTATGATAGTGTAATAATAGAATGTACCCAAACACCCGATTCTAGTTTTGCAGGCCCTATAATAAACCCGAAACCCCTTATAGGAAGGAACCCTTTAAAGGAGCCCCGTTCTGATAATCTCGGTCCCTACATTATGTTGATGCAACAGGCCTGGCCCCCCTCGATGTGTAGTCGCCCCTCTCCGCCGAGAAGTAGCATCCTCGGAGGGTTATAGGGCTTTAGGGTTTTGGGGCTTGAAGTTTAGGGGGGTTCGGGTTAAGGGGTTTTGGGGTTTAGGGTTTAGGGTTTAGGAGGTTTAGGGTTTAAGAATGTTCAAGGAATTTGTTTAGGGTTGATTCAGGGGCTCCTTTGCGGGTTCCTTCAAGGGTGCTAGCAAAGCCACCATGCTGCGGCTCCTTCATGCACTCCTCCAAAAGAGCCATAAGATTCTAGTACGTGTATCAGGTTTCGCCCGAAAAAAGTTGTAGGGTCCAGGTAAGGGCGGCGCGCTTCGGGATGAAGTTCTTCCATGCTTCAGGAGCTCTAGGGTTACTATATAGGGGCCTTACTACTTTTAATAGGGTTCCTTTGAAGGGGTCCATAAGGGTTACTACAAGGTATCTGTAAGGGTACTAAAATTTGGAATAGGGTTTTGGGGCCCATTATACTACAACAATAACGAACCCCCAAAGTCCCAAAGTAGCATTGGCAATCCTGCTTACGCCCCTATATTTTAAGGGCTTGCGTGGTCTAGCAGCGGGGGCGTTTCGAACGGGTTTAGGGGCTTAGGGTCTTGGGGCTTGAAGATTTGGGGCTTTGCGGTTCTGGTGTTCAAGTTTACACATTCGAAGTACCTGAAACGAGGTCTTAGGTAGGAGAACATAGATGGCGTGCATGTAGCCCGAAGTCCCATCCAAGACCTGCTTAGCTAGGTGGGGCTTTTAAAGCTTTTGAAAAATATTAGTAAATAAGATCCTCTTAAGCCCAATAATGGAAAATATAAAATGTCCCAAAGCCCTACCTAGTTAGTCTGCGAGATTCCGGAAAAGTTTCAGGCCGAGTCGAGTGACCGGGCTGCAAGAAACCTATTTAGGGTTTAGGGTTTAGGGTTTGGGGTTATCAAAGCTGCCAAGCCCAGTTTTCTATGCACCCGCACACCCTGAGACCGACCAACTCGCTAAACTCCAAACCCTGCAACAATCGACACCAACAAATCTGGCTAGTATAGTTCCCTGATATGCATAGGAGTTTACCCCAAAACCTTGTTCCAATCACCACGGCCCCTAAGACCCTCTCTCACTGAGTGTATGGCGGAAGGGGTCCCACGGGCGAGACGAGTTTCAGCCGATAGGTAGACTCCATCTGTGGCAGGTTCAACCATAGCTCCAGGGCGGGATCAGGGTTTAGGAGTAAGGGCTTAGGTCTATGGATGGTCAAGACTTAGGTGAGTGCGCCACATCAGCCCGATACAACACAACGCTCGAGCCCCTTCCTTAACCTACCCAAGACCGACAAATTTTCAGGAACTATACTATACACAGAAATCATGTGAATGGTTGTCAAAAATATGGTCCCTTTTTGGGTCCCTATTGTTCAGGGTTTGGGTGACATAGGGTCTACCTTAACCAAGAAGAACCTACGTTTTCAAGGACTTCTATAAGGACATCCTAGTAAAGAGCCCCAAAAGGAAGGGTTTAGGCTAGGGGTCTCAATAAATGGGGTAGGGTTTGGGGCATAGTGTGCTGTATTATTTTATGGTGATACATAGGGACTGTAAGGGAAAGAAGCGCGAGTCAATTCTACTGATTCAGAGTCCTACAACTCCTACATGTTTGTTGTGCATAGCGTTTATGCTTTTTACTTCTGTGCGAGGTTTCTTCACCTACAGGAGAAGCCAGAAAGTTGGAACACCATTATCTTCATACCCTTGAAGCAAAAGTATAGGGAATCCCCGCACCAATCATCCTAAATCCATGTTCCAACTTTCTGGGGATCACTATACTTAGAAGCCAAGGAATGCCAGACACGCCGGATCCCAACTGCGAGCCCTAACATGGAGGTATATGCTTCTGGGGTACATTCTACTCGACTTGCTTTAATTTCAGGAGCCCCAAGGCATAGAACCCCGCGGGTTCAACCCCTAAGGCTCAAAATAGCCCAAGTAGCCTCTCTATAGTATGGTCTTTGAGACCCCAAAGTCTTAAAGTATGAGTCCTTGGAGCCTAGTGGGGTGCCCTACATAACTGTCATCCGAAACCCAAGTACCTTGTTAGGTCCTTTGGACCCTTTGATCCCAGGGCCATGTACCCAGAGAGTACATATATATATATATATATATATATAGAGAGAGAGTTATAAATGCATATATATATATATATATACACATATATATATATATATACACTTTGGCCTTAAGGTAGTCCCTATATAGGTACTTCGGGGCCAAAGAGTTTTTACAATTTGGGTATGTGGACCCTTAGGTTTAGAGCCAGACGTACTTTTGATGATATATACCCTGCAAATAACGAATATACCACATTTCGCATAGTTGAAATGTCCTTAAGGTAATGCAGGATTTATATCATAACCCTAAACCCTAAACCCTATAGATCCCTTCAAGGAAGCCCTTAAAGGTACCCCTATAGGCCCGAGAGATCCCTTTAAAGGAACCCTAGGATTTACACCATCAGCCCTATACCCCCCCTTAGAACCACAATAAAACGTTATTTAAAATAATTCTCTTTGGTTTTAGATGAACAAAAACTAAAACAAAAACAACTCCTAAGGATACTATAGAACCGTATCAGACACAAGAAAGCTCAGGGCAAAAGAGAAGAAGACGCCTGGGAGAGCTCCTGGAAGAAGACCCACTCCTAAGCAGGGATTACCTTAACCCCACATAACCTGCCTTTTTCAGTGTCGTTAATACAATGTCTTTATATAAGTCCTTAAAAGAGTAGGTTATTTGGGGTCTAGGTAGAGTTTAAGCTTTTGGTTTTGGTTTAGGATTTAGGGATTAAGTTGTAGGGTTTAGGTTTAAAGTTTAGAGTTGAGGGTTTAAGGTTTAGAGTTTAGGGGGGAGGTTTTAGGGTTTAGGGTCTCCTACACTACTATCATTCGGGGGTTCCCAGATTAGAGTAAGGGGAGCCCTCCTTTGAGAGCTTTCGCTGATCCCTAGTAGCGTCCGGTGCTTCTGAATCGGCGGTCGAGAATATTGGTTGAACTGAACGGCTTGCTATTTTGGGGGGGCTGTATCGGCTCCCGATTGACGGCGTTTGCCTTAAAGGGTGTTCCCTGTGCTAACCGAATTATGTGGTGACTTTACGGGCCCGCTGTTTCTGCTTCATGGACACGCGCATCGTAAGGACTTTGGGGAGGAAATTCTGAGCCCGGTATCTTAGAGGCCGATAGCTCCAGCAGAATCATAGTCGTAAAGATTTGACCTCCCGGTCCCACGCCATAAGCTGCGCCCCCTCAACACCTATACCTATACTGAAGCACCCCTAAACCCTTTAACACCCCTAAACTCTTAAATCCAAACCCTTAAACCCTGCACGCAAAACCCCGAAACCCTTAAACCATAACGTAAACCCTTAAACCCTTAAACCGTTAACCCTAAGCCCTTAACCCCTCAATGTTTAATAAATGCCGATCGGAGTCGTTAGGCTGCTCTGGGATGAAAGCAGACGAACCATGAGGCCGGGCCTGATTCAAGCGCTTTCATGGTACTTCAGAAGGGACTTGAGGAAATTACGCATGTGTTTGTTAATTAAGACTTTAGGAGGTCTCTTTTTTCACTACTGGTACTTCAGGAGGTCAGGTTTTTAGGACTTCAGGAGGGCTTTAGTAATCGTACTTCAGGAGGTCAGTTTTTTCGGACTTGAGGAAGTTATTGTTTTTGAAGCTATTGGAGTTAGGGTTTAGGCTTTCAGGGTTTTGGGGATTAGGGGGTTTCACGGCTTTCTGTCTGTAGGCTTTACCCAAAGGCCCCAAAGTAGTTCCTTTTGGGGAATACCTTATACGCCGGGGAAGTTTTCAAAAAAGTTCATGAGATCTTCATACGGGTTGAACAAAATCTGATACTGTTTGGTAAAGGTTGTTGTTTCAACTTGACGGGTGGCTTCAAGAGCCTAGTTCATGTTTGAAGAGGATTCCGCTGATGTTGAAAGTGCTTAGATCTTTGTGCCTTTTCGTTGTTGGCAACTGGGGGTAGGTTCTCTGTTGAATCATGTAGGAACCTGATTAAGAAACCTTGGGCCTGTATTAGGTTCCTTATATGACCCCGACTATGTTGGTGTTATAGCCCCAGGGTTCCTTAATCAGGTTCCTACATTAACTATTGCATTAATGACGTAAGCGTGCTTAATGGCCTCATCTTTTTGCGAAAGCTTAGGCTCTATGTTATCGGCTCTGGGCTCAGGAGCCTCTGGAAGCTCAACTGAGGGCTGAATAAGCTAGCCCCCAAAAAGCTTAACATTTCGAACTGATTGGGTTTAGCGTTTAGGGTTTCTTATTATCATATCATTAGTATATTATAGGCCCCAAAGGGGTAAAGGTTACCTACTCAGCCCCTGAAACAAGAAAGAGAGCAAGGCCAAGAGGGTTCGAGAAGGAGCCCGAAGAATCCGGGTGATGATCGGTTGTTATGAGGTCCAGGAGGTACATAGTCCACGGTCTCCCTGATCTAGGGAGTATGCGATAGACCTCGCAACATACGGTGATGAAAGAGTGGAGATGTATTTTCAACGCAAGCTCAGGCTTCAAGAGCTCGAAAGCGGAAGAGTTCACCAGCACCAAACAGCACAGTTCCTCACACTCTACGCCTGCAGCCAATGCCAGCCTATACATCACACATCACACTGCATCATGAGAGAAGACCGGAGATGCGTCTTCAATGCGAGCTCAGACCGTTGGGCATGAGTGCGGAAGAGTTCATCGTGCAGCCAAGCTTACACCAAACAACGGCCACGCACAGCCAACAACAACCTTCTGAATATGCTGCGTCAGGTGAAAGAAGACCGGAAATGTATCTTCATAGCGAGCTCGGACCTGTTGAGCTTGAATGCGGCAGAGTTCATCATGCAGCAACCTACTCCTTCCGCATGTCAGCATGCAAGGTTGCAACCAACCTGGGATGTGTCAAGCCAACATCAACCTACACAACATGCTGCGTCAGGTGAAAGAAGACCGGAAATGTATCTTCAAAGCGAGCTCGGACCTGTTGAGCTTGAATGCGGAAGAGTTCATCATGCACCAACCTACTCCCAATCCGCAAGCATGTCAGCATGCAAGGTTGCAACCAACACGGGACAGGGATATGCCAAGCCAAGATCTACATACGCAACATGCTGCATCAGGTGAAAGAAGACCGGAAATGTATCTTCATAGCGAGCTCAGACCTGTTGAGCTTGAATGCGGAAGAGTTCATCATGCAACAGACTCCTCCTTGCACAAACATGTCAGCATGCAAGGTTGTAACCAACACAGGACGTGCCGAGCCAATATCAACCTACACAACGTGCTGCGTCAGGTGAAAGAAGACCGGAAATGTATCTTCATAGCGAGCTCAGACCTGTTGAGCTTGAATGCGGAAGAGTTCATCATGCAGCAACCTACTCCTTCCGCAAGCATGTCAGCATGCAAGGTTGCAACCAACCTGGGATGTGTCAAGCCAACATCAACCTGCACAACATGCTGATCAGGTGAAAGAAGACCGGAAATGTATCTTCAAAGCGAGCTCGGACCTGTTGAGCTTGAATGCGGAAGAGTTCATCATGCAGCAACCTACTCCTTCCGCAAGCATATCAGCATGCAAAGTTGCAACCAACACGGGACAGGGACATGCCAAGCCAATATCAACCTACACAACATGCTGCATCAGGTGAAAGAAGACCGGAAATGTATCTTCAAAGCGAGCGAGCTCGGACCTGTTGAGCTTGAATGCGGAAGAGTTCATCATGCAGCAACCCACTCCCTGCGCAAGCATGTCAGCTAGCAAGTTTGCAACCAACACGGGACAGGGACATGCCAAGCCAAGATCTACCTACGCAACATGTTGCATCAGGTGAAAGAAGACCGGAAATGTATCTTCAAAGCGAGCTCAGACCTGTTGAGCTTGCTCCTTCCGCGAGCATGTCAGCATGCAAAGTTGCAACCAACACGGGCCGTGCCAAGCCAACATCAACCTACACAAGATGCTGCGTCAGGTGAAAGAAGACCGGAAATGTATCTTCAAAGCGAGCTCAGACCTGTTGAGCTTGAATGCGGAAGAGTTCATCATGCGGCAACCTACTCCTTCCGCAAGCATGTCAGCATGCAAAGTTATGCAAGGTTGTAACCAACCCGGGATGTGCCAAGCCAAC